TCACGCTGCATTTGCTGATTTAAATGTTATCCCAAAGTGATGTGTTAAACTGCCATATGCAATGTAATGTAATCAGCAATGTAAGCACCTGATCCTTTGCCACCTGCTGACCCAATTGGAACTATAATATGAGGTACCAAACCAAGTGCTGATTAGTCAATATGACTGTCAATTCCTCTTCTCTATGACCTGTGAATGGAAGCAATTAAGAAATTCACTGGAATGAAAATGGAGTTAATGGACTATGCTGGGTTTTGATGCGTGGGCATAGTCTTCCCTTCCCTTCCAGGCTAGTAGACCTGCAAAGCATCATGCCAAAGAAGATGTTTGATGTGGGATAGACTTTTCAGTGTTCTTTCCTTGCTTTACTGCCTCTCCTGGCTCAATCCAAGTGCTTTATTTTTATCAGAATAACAGACAGGTGTTTGTGCTAGTAAAGGATGGCATTATAAATAAATTATCCATTCATTTCCTTCTGGATAATTTCCTATTGTATAATCAGAACACACTTTCCTGTGTTGTTTTTTAAAAAATAACCTTTGGCTGGAGCATCCTGTTCATAAGCTTGGAATGAAGGTGGTAGTTTGGCTGTACAAAAGCTTTTCCATCTCATTTGACACTACCAGGCAGTCTCTTTTAGAATTCTCCAGTTTCATCTATTGCATAAGTAAATAAGTAGAAAATTCTGCATAATAATTGTCAGTGTAGTAAAATTTCTCCTCTTGAAGTTCTTCTCAATTAACATACTTCCCTTCTTTGCTTCTTTCCTTTGTGTATGGGGCAAAACTTGTTAAGTCTATGTTTTGAGAGCACCATCTGCACAACTTAATACTGGTCCGTGCATTGCTTGAAGATAATGAAATAATTTTGTATATACAAAAGATAAATTTACTGAAATGTTTCCCACTGTCTCTTTCTCCAACAACCATTTTGTAGCAGTTGTAGTCTCTAGTTGATCTGCTGAGGAGAAAGGAAGGAAGACACTTTGACAGGAAGATGCAGCTTTAATAACTCAAGTGACAGATTCAAAAATGCTTTCTCTTGCAATCAGTGCTAGTGGACTTGGCTTGGATTGCAAAGGAGCTACATCTCTGGACCAAATATGTTGAAGTGTGTGAATACCAAATATGTATTGTTCATACTAAAGAAATAACTGGGAACAGGTTGTGGCCCAATTGCAAGGGTTTATTTGTTAAAAGCCTTAATGCATTCATGTGGTAGTCTTTGTTTTTGAGTTCTTTGTCCTTATCATGGTCTTAATTGAAGTTTATGATAAAGTTTCCTTTGTTCAGTGGAGTAAACATGCTGAATGCCTGAGAATATTTACTATTAAGCTTATCTATGAGTCACTACTCATTAGTAAAGTGTGTACTTCTGTTATATCTGCTGGTCCATTCATTCTTCATATCTTTGTTCTAATGATAAATGCAAAGAAAAGAAATACCTTAAGAGTTTCAATTTCTGTATTGCTGCTACAGATAAAATTGTGGGCTTATGCTATTCCCTTTTTTTAAAGTTCTGAAAAGGGTAGGTGTTTCACACCTCTCCATATCTGGCATGAGTTAGGTGTTAATGTAAGGAAGGTAAAATTCTCAGGATGCTGCGGCTGTGAACAATGTATTTTCACCTACACAAAGTTGCCAGTGGTTACAGGTCTCCAGGCTCTTCCAAGTGAAATTCTTGTGTGGGAAAGGATGGAGTGCGGTTTACAGCCCACACACTTCTCTTGGGATGCTCCCTCCCATGTTTATTTTTAGGTTTTCTGGTCCTCTTGCTTTACTCATTTTGGAAAGTTTTTTCTTAAAACATATCTGTCATCCTTGGCAGGATGTTTATATTACAGGCATACCCATGTAACCTCTGGAGGGGCCCAGCCTTGTTAAGAACTTGCTCCAGTGGTTTCATTATCAGGCTTTTTTGTGATTTTGCTTTGTTTCTCCAAGCCCCTCGTCTTGCACCTTGACAAGCAGTTTGATCTGCAGACATTAGCAGGCTGTAGTACTTGCATTCATGTTATGGAAAGCGTCATCTGGTGATTTGTATAGGTCAAGTTGCGGTTAGAGACATGGGAACAGGCCAGTCTGTTTCTTTCTAGCCAAGCAAGCCCAAGAAATTTGAAGTGTAGGGGAGAGACAGATCACCTAACCAAAAGGGGAAACTGGTGACTGCGCCCCATTGCTCTCTGTGAACTCATTCACAGACTAGTATAGGTAAGATTGGACTCTTTAGGCTGCCTTCACAGAAAGGTATAGATCCTATGAAGTGCTCTTGAAAATATGCACCCGGGAACATAATGTTCAAGCAGGAATTTAAAGAAGGAACATACAAGTTTTAAAGCAAAATAAAAAGCAAAGGAATACTTCTTAATGTTGGGCAGTTTGGGGGTGGGCATCAGAAAAGAACTGAGCATCAAGGTAGAGAGATTTTAGCTCAAAAACCGAATCTTATTTGGATGGGGTTATTCTGAATGTTCAGAGCTGCAGAGTTTATTACTTTGCTTGCTTGCATTTTCATTATTTTCAGCTACATGTCTAATCTGGGTTTGCAGCTTTTAAAGGGATAGCATCTTCAGTCTTCAAAGTAGCTGTAACTCTTCTCCCACTTAATGCCATTTCATTGGTATTGAAGTTCCTTACTATGATGTCAGTAAAATATATTAAAGAAACACCAGTTTCTCCAAGTGTTGAATGTCATGCCTGGCATCTCTGGAGAAACACCTATCAGTACAGTCATCCCAAGCTTTATATTATACGGACCAAACTTAATTATTTTGTAGTGAAAGTCTGTTGCACAGTCTAAGCAACTCTTAGTGTTAATATTTTCCATTGGTGCCTGTGAGTGGACTGTAACTCTAGAAAGTTTTATTCTTCTTCGTGGTCTCTGTGCATCACACAAATGGGCTTCTGAGCCTGCATATGGCCTAGACTGGCAGAGAGTTGCCTTTGTGCCCCAGCATCAGAATGGCCAGTGCAACTCCTGGCAGTGCCAGCCCACGCACCTTTGCAAGATGTGTGGCCGTGGCCATATTGGGGTCCTAGCTGTTCATGCAGGGGTCCACCCCTGTTCCAGATCCATTGTGTGAGGTGGGGAATTCATTGTGCCATGTGGGAGGACCAGCTCTGCTGGTTGATAGTATTGGGCAGGTGATAAGAGGAGATGGAGATAAGCAGGTACTATGACAGGGCTAATCATAGTATTTTCTTTCTTTAATTTATCTCAGCTTGAACCATGTTAGAAAGTTTCCCTAAGGCTCTCCCTTTATAGTTGAGTGTCTAAGGTTGAAGGAGAGACCTGTCGCCACATACACATACAAGACTTAACTGAAATATGGAAAAGACTTTTTGCTTCCCTAGCCTTCTTGCTTCATACTGAATATCAGAGATACAGTAAAAGACGACGACGAAGAACTTTGCACAGAAAATGAGCATATAGGAAAATAGGCTTATTCAGTCACTGACTGTATGTGGAATGTGAAATGGCTGTACCACGCAACAATAGAGAACCCGTGTGATGTGGTCAAGAGCATGGGACTGGGGCTCAGGGGATCTGAGTTCTAGTCCCCACTCAGCCACGGAGCCAGCTGGGTGACTTTGAGCCAGTGGCAGACTCTCAGCCCAGCCAACCTCACAGGCTTGTTGTTATGGGTATAAGATTGAGAGCAGGAGGAGAATGGTGTAAGCCATTTTGAGTTTATAAGAAAAAAGCAGAATATGAATCTAATCAATAAATAAACAGTTCTAAATATAAAGTTGTGTAGTCATGGAGTTCTTATGTCTGAAGTCATAGTCTCCCTTATGTCAGTGAAGGACTTTATCCACTGAACCATACTGACTGAACTGGGTTGTTCATAAAGCTCAGCTGTACCTACCTTTTAACCACCCCCTTCCTGAAATCTCTGCTAAATTAGAAGGAAAGGTTGGTAAGATGGGTGAAAAACCTGCAGGAGGAGTGTATCTGTGTGTGTTGTCTTTCAGCTATAGGAACATTTGGCAAGTGGCTGTTTGTAATGGCCAATGGCTAGAATCTAGCCACTGAAACAGTAGAGCTGTTTTTGGTATGTGGTTTATTAGGCCAACACCTTTAATCTCATCCTGAGGTTGTTGGGTTTTTTTAAAAAATGTATATGCCATTCATTAAAAATAAGGGAAACAATTACTGAATAGTTGCCATTACGCTGTTACTGCTATAAGCAGAAATCATAGGTAAGACCTAGAAAAACAGCTTCACACAAGCTAATTTTTTCATAGATCCTACATTATTGGAATGCTTCAGATAAATCCAGAAAATTAAATGAAGTTTTCTTCCTTCCTTCCTTCCTGATTTTTAACACTGTTCAGCTCTAAGCATCACATTTTGTTAAACCCTGTAATAGAAAATACATCTAATTTATATGGAGGCACAGCTGCAGAAATCAAGGTGCCACAAAAGAAGAGTGTTCAGAATTTAGGCCATCATCTAAATGTTCAAAGCAGCTGCAGTTGAAATTCAGTTTTTAGAGCTACACAGGTAGATACTATTTACGTGTGATTTATGCAGCAGTAAGATCAGGGTGTCTTTAAAAGATTGCCACGTATTTTGTTGCTTGCATTTGGATGTCCCACTTTTTGCACTTTTGATAAGAAATGTAGTTTTTACCTGTTATGGTGATGGCTGCATTTATTTTGGTTTCTTTTTGTAATCCTTATATGCTACTTAATAAAATTGCTAAGTGACTTTTAGCAGCACATCCATTTTAAAACTGATTCCAATAAAGGACTGGCCCAAGGTAATGTTCTTTCTGGGCCAGAAAAGGGTTTCTGTCAGCAGGATTGGAAGAACAGGACGTATCTAATTTTTGCCCAAATAAGAATGAGATTGGTGGAAAATTTAAAATCTAAAAGCAGTCCCTCTACTTTGTAGTAGGTGGAAGAAAGCCATATTCCTATCATTGTAATCTAAATTAGAATGGCTACTTTAAATGAGAAATTCCTAATAATGCCTTTTCTTTTCTCTTTCTGCAGACACCAGTCAGCAGTCCCGCTCGGTATCTCACAGGCCTTATTATACCCTGCCGAACAGTAGCCATGAGAGGCGGTCAGTCCTTGCCATCACTGAACCTCCACGATTCCACTTTCAGGCCAAAGGGAAAAACATACGCCTGGATGCCCATTCTCGCAAGGCCACCCGAAGGAACAGTTTCTGCAATGGCATCACCTTCACCAACAGGCCCATTCACCTTTACGAGAAAGTGCGGCTCAAGCTGGTGTCTGTGCACCATGGGTGGAGTGGCGCACTGCGCTTTGGCTTCACCACTCATGATCCCTCACAGATGAGTGGAGATGACATACCAAAGTATGCCTGTCCAGATCTGGTGACACGGCCAGGTTTCTGGGCCAAAGCTCTGCCGGAAAGATTTGCACTAAGGGACAACATCCTGGCATTCTGGGTTGATCGCCATGGGAGAGTATTCTATAGCATTAATGATGAAGAGCCAATTCTGTTTCACTGTGGCATCAAAGTCTCTGGGCCTCTCTGGGCACTGATAGATGTCTACGGAATCACCCATGAAGTGCAAATCCTAGGTAGGTTACATGTTCTTTTTCAAACTCTTCTCTGTATTCTGTCTTTTCCAAAGCCAGTTAAATGCTCACAGAGAAAGCCCATTGAATTGCTGGCCTGTGTGGTAAGACAGGTACATATTACTGGTCTTAGGCTTTGTGGTTTATCTTTTGGCTGATTGTGACCCTGTTGCAGAAAACCAGAAGGAGCACAGGAGGTGTGACTGAGGAAGGTCCGGTCCATCCTTGTTTCAGGTCCTTTCTTCTCTCCCATCTAGCTGTCTTAAGCAATGAAGCTCGAATGAAATGGCTGCTTATGGTGGAAAATGTTCAGACTCAAATACTAAAATCTACTTTTTTGTTTGCATCCAGTCACTTTTATTTAGTATTTTTGCATCCCTAAATGTATTCACTTCCCTTTGGCAGAAGATATCCTTGCAAAATTCATGGAGATTGATTATGCTGCAAGCAAAAAACAAGTTACATTAATATATATTTTTTATTTTTCCATTGGCTTCTTGATCCCTGCTGTAGTACTGCATGTATTTTTAGAATGTTTTTCTTGTGCCTTTCTCTTAGGGATGGTAGAAGCTAATCACTGCATGCTTGAAGCATAGAGCTTCCATCCAGCTCAGCCTTCTGAGAATCTCACCAGTCATTTTGAAACAAAACAAAGCCCCTTCCTCACTCTGATGTCTGAAAAGAGGCCTATTTCCAGCATTTGACAGCATGATGTAGTAGCAGAGACTCTGTCAATAAATGTGCCAGTATGTGCAGACTGGTGTGTTTAGTATGAAGTAGTTGCACTTGTCTGCCATTTTAGTCTTGGTACACATAGCAAATGGTGATGCAGAGTCTGTCTCAGTTGCTCCTCGCGATGGCCTCTTCATGTTTACCTATGTTAATAAGCCACACAGAAGATTAAAAAGCCTGCTGTCATTGCACCATCTTTGCAGTGGGGCAATAAAAGGAGTCCCCACTCGATTGGGTTTCTGCAGTCCAACAGCTAGCTGTATGCAGAATCTGTTGCCACCATAAGGAGCGATGTGAAGCAGCTTCTGTACCGCTCCTTCCTGTGATTTGTTCTGTAGTCTTTTACTCCAGGCTCCTAATGTTTGGTTTTCCTCTTTCCATGTCAGCTGCCATCCATGGGTTCAGTTGGTACTTTCTGCTCAAAACTGCAGATGGCATTTAAGATTGCTGCCTTTATCCATGCGTAATGTATGCACCATGGGCAGCCCCTTGTTGCTGACAACTGCAGTACAAGTTGTAGGGTACATATGAGGAACATGTGCTTGCCATTTCTACAACCAACACCGTGCATCACAAGCTGGATCACAAAGGAAGCATGATCTCAGTGGAAATCTGGCTTTGTCTTAGCGTTTTTGGATATTGAACTCTACCATGATTCTCCTATGCTGGCAACAGATTTTTAAAACTTATACATCTGAACCTCTTTTTTTATGCCAGAAACTGTGGGCATCATTTGCCAACTTGGCTCCATACGGTAGACTCCTTTGATCAAGCTGCAGATCTGTTGAACCATATCCTTAGTATGAACCAGCCTTTAAGTTTGAAAATATTGTGTATGAGTGATGAAGGAGAGCAAGCGGGAGACATGAGCCCTCCTCCACTTCTGTATTGGCTCCACAAACTGGTGCGTGCTGTGGCCCACTGGAGCGGTATGACTCATCCTTGAGGCATGTCCTTTTTTCTCCCTCTTATTTTATATCCACTATCTCTTCTGAGGACCACTTAGACCCTCTCACATTACATTCCTGCCCTATCAGAGTTTTTAGAAAGCACATTACCTAGACACCAAGGAAACACCAGCTCCTCTGCTTATCAGAGAACTCCAGTGGGGATGGCAGTGTCATAATTCTCTTTTTAAGGGTTTGGAAACTTTTCCAGAGTGTTGGGTTTTTTCACCTTGAATCTCTCCCAGGCAGACAAGATGCTTATTGCTCTTAATTTATCACCTTATCCCACAGAGTTCAGGTGATAACTTGGCTTTCATCAGCCTACCTAGAAGTACATCTCAGTAAACTATGACTGTGGACTTATTTCTGTCCTTACAGACAAGCCTTTTCGTATGTGCTTACAAACCACTGGGCATCTTGGGTGCTGCCTGTGACATAATCTACTGCCTTAATTGTTCTCAGAAGATGAGCTGAATACATGCCTCAGATATCCCATCGGGCTATCTGAACCAAGCTGCCACATCCACCCGGCTTGACCTTTCTGCATATATCCTTAACTTACTGCATATATCCACAGTTCTGCAGTTCTTGTAAAAGGAAGTACTGGGCACTCTTACGTTACTCTGAGCGGGATTGCAGAAGAGAATTCAGTTCCGCTTATGATATCGGCTTGGTGCGCTATAAAGGACATCCTGGGAGTATCTGCATGCCTCTGCAACCCACCCTACCAATAAACCATGTTGGGCTGTTCTGAAAACAACCCACAGTGCATCTGGCAGGCAGTTGGCCTCACCATGGCTTGTGCAGTGCCACTTCTTTCTCAGAGTACCTGCAGGTATTTCAGGGGACACCACAGCAAGACCCCCAATATGATCACAAGCCATTTTGGCATGTGGCAACTTCCCCCCTTTATCTCCCCGCCGGGAAGAAAGCTGGCTTTCATGATCCCTGTAGGATGGCCAGTAACAACCCTTCAGACTGGTCAAGTGGCACCTCTGAGGGGCTGTCCATGGTTGCAATCTCATATTATTACTTATTTTTGGACCCATTAACATGCACAACTATTTTCATACTTTTAGAAACATTTTATTAAGCTTCCACAAATACACAATTGTGTACTTACAGAGGCCCCATTACAGAGGGGTAATATTGAGGCATTTGCTAGCAAAGTGCAGCAATTACCAATTTGAACATTGACGCCCAGAGATGCCAAATAGCCTTCCCCCACTGCTTTGGTTTGACAGCTGTCAAAAGGTGAGCTATTTAGTGAACTCAAGGGGGTGAGTGAACTGTGCTTACAAAGGGAGAGTGAGTAGAATCCACCCACCCACCCCATTTGTAGCAAACTCTTCTTGAGCAGAAGGGGCTGAAAGGGGCATGGGCATTCATGCGCTGGCAGTGGCTCAGGCGAGCTTGGCAAGAGTGGTGGGACAGGGGTTTCCACTCTTGCAGGGTGGCTTGCTGGCCACTTCCCAGTAGCCGCAGTGGGTTTGGTCACCTGGGTTCAGTAAACATGACAATTCATCATATGTATAATGACCCATACAACAAACCATGAGATATTGGGATGGTTTGTTGCCCTGAAACAAGCCATCTTTTAGGAAACATTCCAAGTTTGTGCAATATATCAACCATCCCATGGCTTGTTATCCATGATGGGTTGTTGTGTCATGTGAACACAGCCAATGAACACATATAGTTTAAAAGACAAAAAGATGTACCTTGTAAAAGCCAAGAGGGTAGGGTTCAGTCACGAGGGAGTACATACCACAGTTTAGGAGTGGCACAGGAAAAAGAGATCAAATGTTGACGGACTGCAGCTCCTATCATCCTTCACTATGTCCATGCTTCTAGGATGGTTAAAGTTGCAGTCCGACAACCTCTGGAGGGACACACATTTCCCAACGGTACAATAGACAGAAATGCTGGTGGAGTTCCCCTCAAACTTCTATAACTCCCATTTATAATTTTATGCTGAACAGAAACCAAATTGGAATTAAGTGTGTTAAAACCAGTGAATACTTTTGATGTAAAGTTCTCTTAACTCTTCTGGATTGTGGCCAGAGTTTGCCAATTGTTTTCCAGTCTCAAAACCACCCTGTGAATAGTAATACCACCAGTTTACAGGCAGACATCTAAGAGGAACTGTCTCGTTCTCCACAGTTAGTCGTTATGCTTTTCTAGTTTGTGTCAGTATCTTGAGGGGCGGGGGGGGGGGGGGCACAGAGAGAATCCGGAATATAGAAATGTGGCCACAAGACAAAGTGCAAAACTGCTCACTATGGGCAAATAAACCTCTTGTTTCAGTTATTCAGATGGTGGATATGAAGCATCTTATTTGCTCAGTTTGTTTAAACTGAGAACCCAGTCTTTCTTTATTTCTTTAAATACTGAGCTAGCTCCCTGGGGGCCCAGGGCAAGGGGGAATTGCTGGAACATCCCTTCTTAGACTCCCATGCTCAAAAAAAGCTGTGTGGTTGATTATCATTTAAAGAAAATTGCATGCCCAATTCTTTTGCATATTGAACTGACAGTATTAAGTATTTGAAACTTGTTTCAGGAAATCTCACCTTTAGGAATATCATTTGGGGTGGATTTAAATCAGGCACCTTGGTTTAAATCAAGGTGATTTAATTCAGCAGCAGTAGCAGTGAGTCTGTTTAAATCAGGTTTCCTATTGCTGCTAAATTGCTCACTAAACCGTGTTACTTTATAAATAGAAATTATTTACACTTTCATTCTTTCAAGCAGGTTTTATATCTTTTTGTCTTTAAATTATTCTCATAAAGAAACTTTCTAATGACTAGTTTGAGGTTAAGAGAAAAAACTCAGAACTATTTTCCATTGAACTCACTGGGTCTTACTCCCATGCAAGTGGTGATAGGGTTGTACCCAGAGTATGGAATTACACTGGACAATTTTGTCTTCTCACTTTTTTTCTTAGTGCTGTTTCTTTCTGTTTGCCTCATCTTGTCCCAACTGTGACTTCACAGATATTTAAATAGGAAATAAAAATGAAATGCCCATGACTGATAGGTTGAAACAGGATTTGATAGTTACCAGACAGACTAGAACAGTTTATTTTCATCAGCTGAAAATGAAATGTTTATGTTTGCAGAAGGTGTATGTTTTCCTATTTGAAAAATAATCACATTAGTTTTTCACTTGGTTAGAAAAAGTCTCCTTTGTATGTATCTGGTAGAGACATTCAGCTTAAAAATTAACTGCATGGATATTTATTTATTTATTTTATTTAAAGCTTTTGTATGCCATCCCATTGCTATATAGCCTCGGGACAGCTCACAGAAATAAAGAAATAAAATACAAATACAGTTAAAACCTGGAAACACCCTGGTTGCACAATTAAAACCTATAAATATTAAACATTGTTAAAATATTGTTTGAATAAAAAGGTCTTAGCCTGGCACTGAAAAACAAATAACGATAACATTATTATATTTGGATTATTTAAAGTTTACCTTATTATTTAAACAAACTTGGTATTCACATTAAATGTGAATTAGTATTCATGCAAACACATTAACAAAACAAAAAATATTTTTCTGGCATCTTACATTTTTTATCTACCTTGCTCTTTATTTATTTAGTAGCATTTCTGTACCACCCAGGAGCTAAAGCTTCATAAAAATGCTCTGTTGATCAACTTTGCACATAATGCTAATCTATGTTTGCATTAACCCATGGTTTGATGCCTCTTCCAGAATCTGAATATTTTAACTCAAATATTTAACTAGAACCACTCACCCCATTTTTCATGATCAGCTCTCTATAAAAGCAAGCGCAATAGAATGATCTGCTTCAAGCTTTTCTGCCTGTGGACAGGAAATGTCTGTTTTCTTGACATCTGATGCTGTCAGATAGGACACGGTTTGGGGAGAAAGGCTGTTGCTTGCTCACATGGCCAGTCAGTAACAAAGAGTCTAGTGTGCTGTGAAACATTTTTAAAAGGTCACTAGTGCTGTTTTAGCATTGCACAATGTATTATTAATTATCTGTAAAGTGATTAAATGTACTCTCTTTCCAGTCTCTTACACTAAGAAGGACTACAAGAGGAGGACTGAGGGATAGGGCATGGGAAGGAATATTTTTCTTGCTCACTATAGGACAGAGTTCGCAAGATCGAATAGAGAGCAGAAAGGAAACCTGTGTTCGGCTCGCTACTCCCTTTTGCTGAATTTTGCAAACTCTGTCCTGTGCAGGGATTCCTTCCTTGTCGTAGACTGGGAAGTCATTAATAACAAATGGGTTAATGGGAAGGTGCGTCTCTGACCTGTGAATTCTATGCTTCAGATATTTTCCTCTTGGATAATTTTGCTTGTTTTTAAATTGGAAACATAGTTGGACCAGAAGAGCAGCCTTTCTTGACCTTACTTTACTACAGATTTTCCCAGCAAGCACCAGCTGTGATGCCTTTAGGTGTGGTGATAGAATGGCTGGAAAAACAACTGTCCTGGCGGGGTGGGCCACTGTTTTCAGCTTGCATTGAACAGAGCTTGTCCTTTTCATTATCTTGCAGACGGCATGTTTGCTGAGACAATGACCTCCACCCGGCTCAGTAATGCTCGACTCAGCACCTGCCTTCCACAGAGCAGCCATGATTCGGCCAACTTTAACAACAATGAACTAGAGAACAATCAAGTGGTGACCAAAATTGCCAATCTGAACTTGAGTCGTATGCCTGCGCTGCCAACAGATAACCACACCATCCCTTGCTGCCCAAGCAGGCGACAGCTTGCCCAAGTGGTGCCTGCATTTCTAGACACAGATCTGCGTTTCCACCCCACCCATGGGCCTGACATTAACTTTTCTCAGGACCGGATGTCTGCCTGCACCAACTGGCAAGAGAGCAATAGAACTTTGGTGTTTTCTGATCGACCTTTGCACGTTGGCGAAAGCCTCTTCGTGGAAGTAGGACACCTAGGGCTGCCGTATTATGGAGCCCTTACATTTGGCATCACTTCTTGTGATCCAGGTACTTTGCGGACAAATGAGCTCCCAGCGGATCCAGACTTCCTTCTGGATCGTAAGGAATATTGGGTGGTTTGCCGAGGGTTCCCAGTCCTCAATAATAATGACATCCTCAACTTCATGGTCTTGCCAAATGGAGAAGTGCACCATGGAATAAATGGGATGAACCGAGGGATGCTGATGTGTGTTGATACCTCACAGTCGCTGTGGGTATTCTTCACGATCCATGGTGTCATCAATCAGCTCAAAATATTAGGTAAGTGAAACTGAACAGTACAAAATTATATGAACGCAATGATGCTTGCAAAAAGCTGAGAGCTTGTTACAGACATTTGGCGATGCACCGTATTCCTGTTGGCTTCAATGGGCCATTGCCTATCAGCACAGTGCCCTGATTTTATTGACCAATTAAAGCCTCGTTGGCTTAAGTAGTAATGTGCATTAGCCCCACTGAAGCATCGTTTTGTACTTGGAGAGCTGGGCAAAATCTGATAACTGTGCTGCATGAGCACTAGCCTACACTGTTTTTATGGGCCCAAAAATCCAAAAGCCCAGGAATGATTGGGGTGGAGGCGATCCTGCTCAAGGTAAGGAATGAGATAGAGATATATGTCACAGCAGTGCTGTAAGTACCTGCAGTAGTCCTAGCATAGTTCCCAAGATACAAATTGTTCTGCAACACCAACACTCTTGTATCCTTCTGGTTATGCCACTTTAATGGGCTACTTTCTCACAGCAGAGATCAGTCACACGGCTCCAGATGGAAGGTGCCATTGCTTTGGAATTGGAGATGTGGCAGTTGTTTTAGCTCAGAACATAAGAATGGCCTTGCATGATCAGCCAAAGGTTTGCCTACTCCATCAGTCTCTTTCCAGGAGTAGCCAAACAAGTCCTTGGGGCTTGAGCATGTCTGCCTTTGACATCTGGCACTGTGAGAGGTCCAGCCCTGAACAAGGAGCCTCTTTAGTCATTCTGCCTGTTACGTTTTGGTAGGATCCTCTCTCACTTGGTTGCATCATTGTGCCTAGGAAGTCCACTGCAGTTTAGTAACCTGCTTTCTTTCATCCGGGTGACTCACTGTGTGTTTTTAAAGGCCATTGTAAATGCCCTTTTTCATATAGCTAGGGTGAATGCTTGTTCAGAAGGAGAATCAGGCCCTTTTTACAGCAGTGTTTTCCTGATAAAATGCCAGTTTCACTCAACAAAGGGGACGCAGGCTTTCAGTCTCCTGCTGGGATGTTGCCTGTCAGGTTGTGGCAGACAGCCTCTAACTAAGCTAGTTAGGAACAAATGTGAGCCTTATCAGTGCAAACAATTAACACAAGCTTGGGAACAAAGAAAGCCTGCTTTCTTTAAACAAATCAACATGCTAATTAGTGCAATGTAATTGGGAAGCCAAAGTCATTTGTAAAGACTTGTGGAGATTAAACAGATGCCACTCGCCCAGGGTAAATGCAGTCCAGCACTTGGTGCTTCAAAGGCTCCTGCCCCATCCCTAAAGCTGACCAAACCCGTATGTTGTATTTTCAGGCACCGTACAGTCAAGCCCTGCAACTGTCTCTCCCTCAGGGTCACCTGGAGGTTCACAGTATGACAGCGATTCAGATATGGCTTTCAGCGTGAACAGGTCTTCGTCAGCTTCTGAGTCATCTCTAGGTAAGTGGCCCTTTGCCCATGTCCTCTTTGCATTCCATTTTCATCGACATCGACACATCCGGTACCTTGGCTAAGAAGGATGAGCCCAGCCTTATGGACTGGCTCTTGCCTTGCCTGAACTAAGACATGCTGCGGTTTGTACACCCTGCGTCGCTTGTTGTGAGAGGCATACCGAGATTTCCTATGGTTGCTGCTCAATGCCCTGCTGGATTTTAATGCACACAAGTGTTAAACCCAAGAATCAAGAAGGGAGGGGGCATCCATTCCTCTTCCTTTGAGATAACTGGAGCCTCAAGAAAGTAAAGCAACTGGAGCACTGTATTGGACACAAACTGTGACATAAGAAGCAACATTATTCTGGCAAGCCCAGTTGCTCCCAGACAGCTATATGTGGGGAAGGTGAGTAAGTGGTTAGTCTTTATGCCAAGACTGCTCGAGAGCCATTATTTAGGAAAGCCATATCATATTCTTCAGAAATTATGTGAGGTCAGTGGACAGCTCCCAGTCCTCAAGAAAGGGTTGCAAATGTGCCTTGTGCCCACCTCCCAGAATGTGCCTGTGAAACTGCCCGAACCACAAACACAAACGTTACCTTACAGCATCCATGCAGCTCCCGGCCCCATCCCTGTCTAGTATAGTGTTCTTCCTGCTGCAGTGGCCTCAGGAAGATGTGCAAAGCATTGGAAAAGGCAGAGGGAATGTGAAAGCCAGACCCTGCCCCTTTTTCCGGCCCCTTTTCTGTCCAGGATCAGACCAGAGAAGGCAGGGACTTGCTATAGTAGTGAGCTGTGGCAAGCTCCCCACCCCAGAGAATCGTTTATAGCACTCTTGGATTAGAAAAGAAAACAGCACCTGTATATTCTCCCCTTTGATATGCCATGAGCCAAACTACACATTGCAGACTGGATTGAGAGCCTCTGTGGGAAGGTGTGTCCTTCGTGTGGGTGTCACTTGCAGTGTAATTTAGGCATTTTGGCCGTTGGGTGCCTGATGAGGAGGCTTCTCACTGGAAAAAAGGAGGAATGGGAAGTAGATGAGCTGTTTTGACTGCTAATCTGCAGAAGGCTATTCTGACGTGTCTCTAACATAAGTGAAACATGTAGCATGCCTTAGGTCAAATTATAATATAAATTAAATTTGTACTAGAGGAGCAGCTCTTGAAGTTGACAAAGGACAAATACAACATTTAGAACAATGTCACTTTCTATGGTACTACTGAAATTCTGATAAGGATTAAATTTCCTGTTGATAAGTAATGTAAAAAGAAATAAAAGACTCCATATCTACTGAACCATGCAGAGCTGGTGCTGCTCAGTGTGTGATCATGAGCTGCCCTTGCTCTGGAAATACAGCTGGTAAACATCCTTAGCTGGTTCAAGGCAAGTGCTTTAGAGCACCAGTTAATACAGAATGCCTTCTGAATGGGACAAATGGTTCTAAAGCATGTTTCAGAACATTTTCTTAATTACACAAGGATAAGCAAAAGTGCTAAAATAGCAAGTAACAAAAAATTACAAACATTAATCCCAGGTAAGTATCAGCCACTCCACATTCCTGTCGTTAAACTCACACCTGCTTTTAAATAAAATATTATTTAAGAAGGAACAAACTTCTGTGAGAATATGCACATGTTGCCATATGCAATTCACCGGAATTTGCTATGAGACAAACTGCGACATGGAGAATCACCACGTCAGCATTACAGATTTGAGGGTTGCTGATGCTGGCCAGGCAGTGATGGGCAGCAGTTCATGCCAGAGCTGCAGGGTCTGTGAAGAAGTTCCTGCATGCCGGCTGGCCGCCGTCCATATTTCAAGTGCAGAAACAGCGCGAAGTGGGCTTTGCCCCCCAGTGGGTGTTCACACGCTTGTCTTGCTCCACTTTTGTGACAAGTTGTAGGACATTGAAACACTTCAATAAAGGGGTTGGTAAGGAAAAAACCTTTGCTGAGCATGTTAAGAAGAGTTGCCTTTGAGCTCTCCTGGGCAAGAGTGGATGGTGTTGTGCTCTAAGCTCAGGTTAGAGGTCCAGAGGAAAGTGGAACGGCTCCTCTGACCCAGATTTTTGTTCCCCATTCCTTGCAGTGACTGCTCCAAGTTCTCCTCTGAGCCCTCCCGTGTCTCCAGTGTTCCCACCTCCAGAACCTTCGAGCAGCAAGAATGGCGAGTGCACCGTTTGTTTCGACAATGAGGTGGATGTGGTGATCTACACCTGTGGACACATGTGCCTCTGCAACACCTGTGGTCTTAAGCTGAAGAAGCAACTCAATGCCTGCTGCCCAATCTGCCGACGGGTCATCAAAGACATTATTAAGATCTACCGTCCTTAACCTCATAGCACCCCCCCTTGGGGTATGAATGGGGAGGGGCAGAAGGAAGAATCTCGTTAGCGGTTACCACACCTTATCATCCCTGCTTATGGGTTATTGTCCTGGTCAGTGGCTCCTGAGTGGCTCTTTTGTCTGTATTCCCATGTTTTGACCAGTAGAAACAAATCAGGGATAATTAAGCAAACCGGGGAATGCTCTGGTCCTTGTGGAGACAGAAGGTACAGCTGCATAGTGGGAACAGCTTTGTGAAGATGCTGCTCTAAACTGGGAGGGTTGCAGTCTAAAGAGACTTATCATGTTAATTACAAAACAAAAGGGAGAGTTGTCTTGTGCAGTTCCTTTCATTAGAGCATAGATAGCCTTCTTTCTCAGGAAAGGAACCTGAGAAACCAGTAACTGATCCAGTTTTTAAAATTCTGTACATCTTCTGTACCATAATTGTGGAACATATCCAGTGTTCTGTGCTGATCTCAGTTTATGCACTTGGATGCTCCCTGTCCATTGAAAGTTTATTTCCCCCAACCACGGGTCAAGAGCAAGAATATGAGGAAAATGGAGGGAAGTCTAAATGAGCAACTTGATAGGACATGTTTTTAAACCCCTTCTCTTTGTTGTATTCATTTTCATTTTCCAGTGTTCATGGATGGTTCATTCATGGTTTAATGTCCACATCTTTGAGGTGGTGTCAAAGTTTGTGAACCCCCAAACAAGACAATTGCATGGGTCTCTCTCTCAGGTCTCTCTCTCTCTCTCTCTCTCTCTGTACTCAAAGTAAATAACATCTTTCTCCTTTATAAGTTGCAACTTGAAGCTTCCTGATGCTTTACTGAGGAAATGCTAAGCACAGCTGGATGCTGAGAGTTTTAATTAATGCCTTTGTATACATAAGAGGAACATTGTGTAGCATGGAGGTTAGCAAGGGTCATGACCTGCCTGTGACATGTAGAGAATTTAGAAGCAGGATGCAGAGGAGGGAGGCTGATGGAGAACTTAAAATTTGAATCTTCCAGGGTTATTTATTTGTGATGTGTGAACACAACTGATTGATGTTTTTCTCCATTCCTCCCCAGAGGTTTTGCTCACAAAGTAGGCTGCAATGTCTTCCTCTCCAGGAAGTTGTCTTCTATTCCACAATGGAGCCATCTTGCTGAAATTAAATAGCATTGACTTTGATCATTGGAGAAGGATATGCAAGCTGTTATTAGACAATTAGCCTTAAGCGATGAGTGAATTTTGATTGTTTGGGAGTTCTGAATTATAAGTAGCCTGGATCACGGGTTAAAGGCACCATTCTAGCATTAACCCAAGTTTGCTAGTCTACTTGCTTATCCTCCTTCCTTAGGGCTTTGTATGGCAGAATCCTTTTGCATTGCACACAACTGTGGCCATCTTCTCCACTAATCCTTAGGCAGACTGCCCTGTTCTATTCATTGGAGGCCTCCTAGGAAGAAATTCTAATGATTTAGGTGGAAATGGAACAGCCTGGTCTACCTTGAAAGTGGCCATTGTATCCCAGTATGCACCATAAGTCTCCCACATCAGCTGACGGGTACTGACAATCTGTACTGGAGCAGCTGGCAGGATTGCAATCATTCATGTCCCCTCCTGGCAGAATTAGCAATGAATATGAACCCTGGCACCAAGGACAGCTCTGGTTCTTCCCCAGACAGCTGAGCTTTGGTCTTCTCCCACCCCTCCTTGGGGTGTATGCAAAGGGTTTTGTGCTTTAAGAGGGAGATGTAGCCAGTTCAAACAAATTTGGCCAGAAACTGATAAAGTCGTGCTGCTTACATGGTGGGCAAACGATCCTAATTAAAACTGCTGGGCTGGTCTACTTCAGTAGACCCTACATCATTTTATACCCACAGAAAACCTTAGGTTGGGTCTAAATTTAAGCTAAATCATCTGTTCTGGCAGAAGTGGATTTACCTGCCTCCTTTGCTGCTTGAAAATGCTACACAGAGTATCATGGAGACCTTGCTGAATAAGGGGTGTTGTGCTGTGGGAGGAAGGAGGCACCCCCAAAATTGGCCGCAAGGACCTTTCACAAGAAGAATCCCTCCTCTAGCAGAAAAATAATTCTTGCTGTAATCCCTTCTGTTTGCTGGTGCATAGATGAGCCTTTCTGTGGCCCAGTGTAATTCGAGCAAGTGTCCATCATGGGTAGTAGCTAATGGTATTTTGTGAGCTGCTCACAGCAAAGCGATTTCATCAAACTGCTCTCATTGTTCACAGTCTGCATTAAAATATGTTGATGCCAGTGCAGCTTAAATCACACCCTAAATTGCAGTCCATTTCCACGTATGGATTACATAAGGAAAGACCCTCCAAAGGTTATTAAGCAAAATGAATTCTCATCCTTCCAAGTTTCTTGAGATTGCAGGCAATATTTTGGGTCAACAGTAACCCCAGTTTACAGTTGTTTGAAACAACATTGTGCTCTCTTGGATGCCTCTCAGTCCATATACTTGGAGTATCCAAATTTCCACAGGAGAACTTGCTGAACAGTGAGTTTAGCATCACAGCGGTCACTTGATCTAGCCAACTGGTTGCTCAACATGGATGAAACTGCTTTGTGTGAGACAAAGAACTGTAGGCTGAAATCGCCTGTAGTGTTTTTCAGTGGCTATCGATGTCCATAAACTGAAACTTTAATTCAGTCTTTGCACTGAAGTTATAAACTGGCATTAGGATATCCCACTGATCACTGTGGAGGGAGAAGGCTTTAAATAATGCTATAATTACACCATATAGATACACTCTGTAAGCAGCATTATAAAACAAGCAGTCCTCAGTTTAAGAGCATAAATGTTTGCCTCTTCAGTTTTGGAGCTTTGCTACAGCCTTTTGCTGGTATCAGCTGCTGATCTAGTATGTGTGAATGATGCACAGGAATGTGCAGGTTTATGATGGGTAACTGCAGACTTAAGCAGCAGAGAAGAGGTATCATTTGGGTTGAGATAGAGAGAGAGAGAGAGATTAGCCTGCACTGTGAGAATAACAACAGGCCATTGATGGCAAAACCTCTGCAGAAGCTCATTTAGAGAAAAGTTCATGCAAGCAGCGGAGATGGCAGTTCTCTCATTCTGCGCTTACGAAGTGCTGTAGGTGAGGATGAAATTGTCGTAACACACTGTGCCTGAAAACTGAACTACAAGACTGATTTCAGCCATTCTTGATAGTTGTACTTAGCATTGGTAGAAGTGGTTGCGTGAAGCAAAACTTTAATGCATGAAACTCTTCTGGGTCAAGCCGGCAAAAATCTATTCCTTGACGGTTTGCTACTGTGCATGGAAGCTGCTGCTTCAAGAGAGCATTTTGAGAGGCTCCCTTACTCACTTCATCAGAGGGTTTATAATTGTGTGTGATCACAGCCCCTGCTGCTGGATGTCACAATAGGAGCATTTTCCTCATGGTTCGGTTTCATCCTGTTAGGCCTAAAAGCCATAGCTGAAGTGGTTGGCAAAACTCGGCAGAAAGTGGAGAACAGGCTTACCTTTTTGCAGGTACAATACAATAGTAAGGAAACGGCAATTCAGTAGCTACTGTGTTTCTTTTGGGTGCTACTCATTACCTGCGTTCTGTTGCAAACCCCCATGTTGCTTTTTACTGCTTGGTGCAAGAGCACATTAGTCCCTCTTTTCAAGCTACTGTTTTTGGTTTAATTCCATTAGCTGCTGTGTCATATCAAAACCTACCTAAGGATTTTGTTGGTGTCTCCTCCTCAGAACTAGTTTTCCTTAATGAATGTGGAGCAGCACACCACTGTGGATGAGTTGCCAGTGAAACTGTATAGCTAAAGGCAATGTATACCTATAATGATTGCACAATGCAGAAAAGGGAAGGGCATGTCCTTTTTGGGGGAGGGGGTGGTTTTCCCAACAGATGCAGCATCAGACCGAGACCGGGAGTGCTTTGGCAAGGTAGCCCAGTCTGCAGACAAAGTGTAGCTGTGAAGCAGCTTAGGAAGAGAGAATTAATGGCAATGCAGCTCTACCGATTCCACTCTCACAAAGGAATTCTCAAATAATATATAGGATGTGGAGGCTACTTAGCAACTTGTTCTTGTTACCGCTCTTTTTTTAAAGAAACTGTTCAGAAGATCTGTTTGTGCCTTATAAGGGTGTCTGTGCACTTTTTATCCTTTTTAATGCTACTTTAAAAATGGAGAGAGAAAAAGAACTTAACACAAAAGGCTGGTAGTTTTATAGAATCTTATGTGTTCACCAAGAAATCTGCTTTTTTTGTTTTTGTTTTGTTTTTGATATTGGAGTGAAAAACTATGTTTTCATTGAATTTTGCTGCCACCCTCCTCCCCATTTCCTCTTTGTATAAAAATGCTTTTTAAAAAGTTTCCAGATTTCTAAAACTTCTTGATATTTTTCTGGTTCATGACTGTAATCTGTGCATCACATTCTACAAAAAGACAGATTTTAATCTCTCTGTAATAGATTTTCAAAGCAAATTGTTTGGGGAGGGTTTGCACTTCTCTACATGTAATACTCTCTAGCATTGTGATCTGTAGTGTGTGTGCGCGTGTGTGTGTATGTGCGTGCGCACATGTGTGTGTGTGTTTTTTATTTTTGTCTGTTTTACATTAATATAAAATTTATGTGTTTATGAAACAAACAAAATGCTGGCTTGTAAATATTCCCTCTGTACAAAAGTAAAAGCAGAGTGCATCAGAGTATGTCTGCGTTTTAAGCCCAGGACTTAGGGCCAAAACAGGCATTACTTTCACTTGTACATAGATGAGAAAACTTCCTACAAGTAAACATATTACTGTAAAATAATATATATAGCCTTTACCTGAACACTGCAATAAGCAGTACATTGATGCTTATTCAACATAACTTGACCACTGATGGATGAGTATTCTTACATGCAGAGTAAGCTATGGCTGCAGTTTTGTACACACACCTCTCGCTACCAGTTGTGCTTCCGTACTGACCCATCAGTAAAGTTGATCCTCTGTATTAGCCCAGCTTGTAAGAGCTTCCAGGCAGCACAGAACCTACGTTGTATCCTCATAAGACCCATGAAGCTCTAGGCCCCTGATGTTAGCATTATTGTTGCATTTCTGCTCTGAGCCATGCTTGTGCCACCCCTACCCTAGTGTCAGACACTGGAGACACTTTCCAATGAAGAAATCATCCCACTGCCCAGGTGATACGATGCATCTTGTATGCCCGCTGCTTTGAGACCCACCCCATTTTCCTCAAACCTAACAATAACTTTACAAAGCAGCTAAAAAGAAAGAGAATGCAGGCGTTTTCCACAGTAGCTTGCTTTTTTCCCATGTATTTAAAGCTGTGACAGTGTGTCAGTCTAGTCATGGACTCTGGCAGGCGTCATGGTCCCTTGCCTATCTGGACTTGCCCGCTGATACCCTCAGGCTCACTTAAAGCTAGGTTGTCACCTCCCTTTCCGTTTCACTGTAGGTAGCTTGACAGACTGTGTGGTAGGTACATTTCCCTCAACCTCCCTGGAGCTCTCCTTGCTTCCATGTTAGAGACATTAGAGATGATCCCCAAAGCTTTCACTTGACACTCTGTCGTTCCATTCACTAAGTCCTGTCCCTTGGCTTAGTGTCCTTTCTCAAAACAACTCCAACAAGACCAACTTGAACAGCTTCAGTTATTTACTGCATTTCTTGGAAATGCCAAGATACTGTACTTGAATAACAGAACTATCCGTCAGTCAGTCAGTCAATAAAAGCAGGTGACAGAGCACAGATCCATCTTAGCTGGGTGACACCGTTAGGAAGGGGCTCACACAGAGGAGCATAACCACAACCTGCACACAGGTTGCACTGCTTATGTCATGCCAGTGCGACTAGAATCCAAGTTGTGGGGCTACCTAGGCTTGGAACTTGCACGCCGCCACCTGAGCGGGCAGCTGGGTCCAGTGGGCCCTTGGCACTGCACTGCCAATTCCCCCTTTACCCTCCCTCCAAGGCTGCGTGCACAAGCCCACTGCCAACGCCCCAACCAAGTCAGCCTCCACAGAAACAACCAAGAGGTGTGGCTTCTTAAAGACAAGCAAAGCCATTCTGGCTTAAGCTTTCATCCTCGTATTCACCATGCCCTATCCCTGGATTTACACAGTTTTCTAAGGGAAAACTTCCTCATGCAAGATGACCAGCCCTATGGGCAGCTAAAAAAGGCATATAACAAGAGACAGAAGACACTACTCAGTCTTGTCTGCATGCATGCATTTCTACAGTCCTTCCTTAAGAAAGCAGTGACTGAGTAATGATACGACCTTTCAGGCTTTATCTGCTCTAACAGAGTAGTTTGAATGCACTATCTTACTCCCATTATATCCATCTCTCTCTACTACTTAATAAGGATAAAATGGAGCTGGAAGGGCAACCTTGAATAAGTTGAAGTAAATACACAAGACAGCACACAGCCTTGAAGGGTGCATCGCCTGCATTCTTCTTTTCCAACATGGAATGTAAATTAATGTACTGCCGAAAACCGATGGCCATTCAGTCATTTACCAAAGGGCAGTTACTGGAGCGGCCATGCAGCACCCCTGAATTCCCACCAACACTCACCCAAATGTTTACGTGATGCAGCTGGTTGATCAGGAGGTCCATGAGCTCAGCTGCTTCACTCACACCCTTCTCTCCCATCAAAGCAGGAGGAAAAGACCATGCAAACATGGCAGCTGCACTCTCGGGCTTCTGTGTCATGATAGGGAAGACACAGCTGGCCATTCCTGAGCTGGTCATCGCTGCTAAACACCTGAACTTAGTGCATAAAGTGTATGAATCGCTACATCAGTTGTCTGGCGAATTAGGAGTGGACTGGGCAGCTGCTGGCTGAAGAACTGATGCCAGAAAGAAGCATGGAAGGTGGCCTTTGGCAGAATTAAATTATTTGATTGATGGAAGAGAGAATTGAGGCCTATTGAGGGAGCAACATTGCACTGGAGGAAACAATGCAAATAACCATCAATAAAACCTTCTTAAAACAACTTTAACTAGAATCAAACATGAAACATTCTAAAAATGCAGGGAGCACTCATGTTTGGAAGGAGTGTATGCATTTGATTTCAGACTATTGTGAGAGCTCAGCACTGAAGCTGTTGCTGGGCACCTTCCCTTTAGGGAATTCAGGGTGGGGTGCAGCTTTCACCCGTGATTTTTCATTGGGAAGGAAGCGAGCGTTTAAGCTTGGTGGGCTTTTGACTTATCAAAACAAAAGGCTTGGCTACCTGCCACACTGCCACTCATGCTCTAGTCGGCAGAACACAGCGGCTGAGTTCACATGACACAACAGGCCATCGTGGGTAGCGGCTGCTCTTTGCAACCCTCTCTGTGCAGCTTTGCTTTCCAGGGGACGTCCTGCTCTCCCTGCCCCCAGCACGGAAATGACTGAATGGGACAGAGTGAATGGGATCAGATGAGAAGGACCACTGGTGCTCATGACCCATTTCTTCCTTTCTTCCTATTCTACCACCTCCAAGATTTTTTTTTCTTTTATCCACTATCAAGAATATTTGCTTATTTTGGAGAGCTGGAAATAAGTTTGCACACCAGCACAAACTGCTCCATCACGGGGATGCCAGCACAACCCACAATTATGCTTGCTCCCAAAGCTCTCCCCACCACCCTGCTCCACTCAGTTTATTTTTTGATGACCTGTCCAAGGAACTGCAGTAACGAACTCTGTACGTGCTCCAAACAGGAGCCATGAAAAGGTAGAGAAGTTACTGCCTCCCTTTTCTGGAGGAGTTGGGGACGCAGGGAAGTGTTGGAAAGGCGGAAAACACTGGGAAGTGTCAGCTCAACACTGAAAACCAGGACATTGCCAAGGGGAAGATAAAAACATAGAAACTGAGTCAGAAGGGGCTTCCCGGTCCATCTAGTCTGACCCCCGGCTCAGCCAGCTCTGCTCATGACATGCCTACCATGTGCATGTCCAGATTCTGCTAAGGAGACACCTCTTTGCCATATGCTTTGCTATCTGCCAGCCCGAAATATCTTTTGAGAGCAGAAGCAAAATGGCAAGATGTTCCCCCTGGTCAGCTCACCTACCCAGGTGCCTGTGGGTGTGGTGTCGTGCCGATTCACTTGCCTTCACCATCATTTTCATGTAATCCACAATGGCAAAAGGCTTTCATTTCAGACCAGACCAAATGGGCTCGGGTTGGAAAATGCCAGCATGTGCATACTTAGTCTCAAACCACCTACTCCAAAATGGTGCCTTCTGGATTTACCAAAGAACAGCTCCCACTGGGCAAAGAGTGTCACTGTCAAACAAACACCGACCGCTGGAAGATTCTTCTGTAAAGGCTGCTCTGAGACACAAAAGCTGTGGCAATGATGGAAAGGTGAGGCTAAGTGGGACCGAAGGTGGATGAGGTGGGAAAGTATTTTCTCCACCAGCATCCAGACCTCAGTGCCATGCAACCGTGATCTGTCATGCATCTCTCTCAATAGATATTTTTATAAGAACAACTAAAATAAACACAATATGAAAGTATTATTCATTATAAGTAAAAAGAGCACGATACAGACAGCAAAGCTTCAGGCACACACCCAAAGCACACTCACTGGGTGCTTTTCTGCAACAGCCATTCACAGAAAAGGCATCCCCTAGGAGAGATGAGAGCGGAGTTCTTGCTCCCAGCAGTAACAGTCTCATCAGCACTTCTTGCCAAACGTCTTTTATTTTAGATGTCTCTGAGCATACACAAAGTGAAATGTTGAACCCTTTCTGGACCCTTTCACTCAAAGCTTTGCTCATGAATCCTTCTGCTCCTGTCCCTGGTGGAACGGGGCATGCCTTCGCACCTCCCTCTGTAATCCTAATTGGGCCACCCTAGGACTGTGGCGACTTTCGGGCACACCTCCTCAGAAGACTGGAGTTCCCCATCCGATAGACTCCCCCTCTCTAAGTCCCCCCTCAGGATTTTGTTCTTCCTTGTTCCTGCAGGTGGGTTGACTGGGCCCCTCGGCTGCCCTTGCACAAATCTCTTCCCTAGCAGGCACAGTCAGGTACCCGGGACCTTGGGCTGCAACTCAACAAACGTCTTGTTACCAGCGCCAGAGCTGTCAGCCCTGCCAGTACAAGCCAGCTCCCCTGCACACATCTCATCCTTGGATTCTGAGCTGTCAGTCCAGCCAAAGTGGTCAGCCTCTTGTGCATGTGCCCCTGAAGTTTGTCAGAATATCCGCTGTTCTTAGCCGATGCTCCTTGGTGTGACTGCACAGAGGCAAAACCATTCCAAGTTCGGCTCCCCACATGCACCCACAATCAAGCCTACGGTGCTCTCCGCTTTCTGCTGCAGGGCTTCTGCACTGTTTCTCTGGGCCGGAGTTAAAGGATCAAAGGAGGCTGCAGAACCCGGTTCCTTCTGCAAGCCTCCAGCTAACAGGTGCTGCTCAGCGGCTGGCAGCTCCATGCAAGAGAAACGCCAGCATCGCAGCAATTGCCAGACACAGTAGCAGCACCACACAGTGGTCATTTGACACTCAGAACCAGGGCTTACAGGATGCAGGATAATGAACAATACAGCTTTCTCTACTCTGGCGCCCTCCAGGCATTTCACACTGCAACTCCCATCAGCCCCAGTCATCACAGTCAGTGCTGGGACTTGAAGTACAAAATAGCTGGACAGTTTCAGGATAGGGAAGGTGGCCAGAAGGGCCGGGTGCATATATTGCTAAGTATTTCCTGGACACTGCAGAATTATTTAGATTCCCTCTGTAGTTGTGGAGATCATGTGCCCCCATTGTCTGGTGACCTAAACAGAGGAAACAGGCTTCTGTTCGGCCTGAGCAATCCCTACTGTTGGATCAGTCTGCTAGGCTCTCCCCCAGGCAAAGCAACAACAAGCAGCCTGCGCAAACTGAGCTGACCGAATTGCTTAGCCACACAGAGAGATTTTCCATTCAGATGACACAAAAATAAAAGCCAGCATGGATGGAACCAGATACTGATGACCGGGCTTGCTTCACATTCCACATAAGCATGCAAGAGCAGCCTCGTGCATCCCTTCAAACATCCTTCTGACTTAATATCCTGTTTCCAGCAGAGGTCAGCCATTGCAAGCCACCCTGGAAATGCTAATTGGCTATGAAAGGTGGAGTGTGCATTCCAGAGGAAGATAATCGTTCTCAGAAGCCCACAAACAGCACGTGAGGGCAAAAATCCACCTGGAAATGCTAGCCAGATGCAAGAGAGATCAGAGATGCAAGAGTGCCATTTGCCTGTTCTGAGCACACCGTTTCCCAGCCCTCCTGGTTTTCTACTGTCTGCTCACAACCAGTGGTTAGCACCCCAAGGACACTGAGCACGCTCTGTCCTAATTGGAGTACCTTGCTGGCAGGGAGAGAGGTCTACCCTTGGGGGGGGGGGTTTCCTAATTTTGGGGGACTTTTGCAAAGACTCCTGATGCTCCTCCCTCCCTCTCCCCCTCTCTGCACATGTGTAGTTTCTGTCTTGGTTACAGAAGGACAGCCACCCAGAGAGCGGATACTGTAATTAGGCTAATGGTGACCACTTGAGAAGGTCTGTAAGCAGACACCATAACTAATTGCCCTTGACAAACCTACCCCGATGCAGGAATGCTCCTTCAAAGACACCTAAGCTCATGGACATCGCCATTTCTTACTATGAATTCCCTAAGTTGAAGATGTATCATGTGCGAATTTATTTGGTTGGTGCACACCTACTTCAGCCCCCCTTTTCCATACAATGTTCAAAGCTGATAAAAGCAGGTTGCTTACCTGTAACTGATGTTCTTCGACTGGCCATCTGTGCATTCACACATATGGGGTGCTGCGCCTGCGCAGTGTCTAGGCCGGAAAGATTGAAAGCTAACGGTTTTGGTGGGAAAACTCCGCTCACCTCCCCCTCGCTAGTATATATAGAACGGAGTGTCTGCCATTTTCTTCAGTCTTTGGAGACCGAACATTCGCCACCTTGTGGAAGAAGATGGCATAACAACTTATCAGGTACTGCCGCAATAGCCCATGGTATCGATGACATATTAAAGTATCAGGTACCGAAGCAGTATCATACGGTACCGATGAAGAAACCACTCACCGACACCGAGCGGGGCTGGCGGGTGGGTTGTGTGAATGCACAGATGGCCACTCGAAGAACATCAGTTACAGGTAAGCAACCTGCTTTTCTTCGTCGTGGCCTCTGTGCATCACACATATGGGTGAATAGTGAGCTTACCAGAGATGGTGGTGGGCGGTGTCGTCATTGAAGAACGGCCCTCCTGAAGGAACAGTCTCTTCTGGCATGCACATCAAGGCGATAGTGCTTTGCGAAACTACACGGAGTAGCCCAAGTTGCGGCCTTGCAGACCTCCTGGATTGGGACACCCGTGGCAAACGCGGAAGAAGCCGCCACCACTCTAGTGGAATGACCCCTTGGAACAACAGGTAAGTCCATCTTTGCAAGCTGGTACGCTAACAAAATGGTTTGAACAATCCACTTTGACAGTCTCTGAGACGAAACAGGTAATCCTTGGTCCCGTTGAGAGTACTTTACAAAAAGTCTATTAGAGCGTCTAAGAGACTCTGAGTGATCTCTAGAAAGCCAAGCAGCGTCGTACATCCAAGGTATGCAAGGACCTTTTGATCGGGTTTGACGGTGATGGAAAGAAGGCAGGCAACACCATCTCTTGATTCAGGCGGAACGGCGTGGCAACTTTAGGCAAAAAAAGACAGATCCATCCTCAGAACCACCTTTTCCTTATGGAAGTTGAGATAAGGCGGATCAATTTGAAGAGCACAAAGTTCACTGGCTCTACGAGCTGATGTAACTGCAACAAGGAAGGCCGTCTTCCATGATATAAGATGCATATCGACAGTCGCTAGGGGCTCAAACGGTGGTCTTGTAAGTGCCTGAAGGACAACTGAAAGACTCCATGTGGGCATAACAGGCCGAATAGAAGGATGAAGATTTTGCAGTCCTTTGAGAAATTTTCGTATAAGCACTTGTGAAAACACTGACAATCCTTGTACCGTACCCCGATAATGTGACACGGCAGCTGCATAGACCTTAACTGAGGAAGGTTTTAGTCCCGAACGATGCAGTTGCAGCAGAAACTGAAGAATATTATCTACCGAAGCTGTAATCGGATTGAACGAGCGTGATTCCGCAAAAGATGAGAAGCAGCGCCACTTCGCTGTGTAGGATTTCCGAGTTGATGGTCTTAGTGCAGACTCGAGAATCCTTAAAATGTCTGGATCTAATGAGCTCGGTCCCGACAATACCCCCATCGGTACCAAGTCAGTGAGGAGGTCAGATCGGTCGTGAGTTGAGGTACCGAGTGACCTAGTAGATCTCTGTCCTGAAGCAGTATCTTCAGTCAATGAATTCTCCATGCAGTGAGGTTCAATGAGGACAGGTCCAGGTGATGGACAGCACCTTTTTGTTGAGTTAGTAGATCTTGTCTGGACAGAAGATGAAGGAAATTGTCGTTCGAGATCCAAAGCAAGGTGGAAAACCATGCTTGAAGAGGCCACCAAGGTGTTATGAGTATTCCTGTGGCATCATCATGCACAATCTTCGATACGACTTTTGTCATTAGAGGAATAGGTGGGAATGTGTAAAACCTGAGATTTGTCCAGGGGATCATAGGGGCATCTCCCATCGATCCCGGTCCTATTCCCACCCTGGAGCAGAATCTTTTGCACACCCTGTTCTTGTGGGTAGCAAATAGGTCAATGTCTGAATGTCCCCATAGCTGGAATAACTGTATGCAGACTTGATGATTCAGTTCCCATTCGTGGATGAACGACATGTGTCTGCTCAGGGTGTCTGCTTCCTCGTTGTCGGTCCCGGCAAAATGGACTGCCAAGAGGGTTATACCTCTTGGGATGCACCATTCCCAAATGTCCATGGACAGGCGGGCCAGGGCAGTGGACTTTGTTCCGCCCTGTTTGTTGATATAGAATACCGTCACTATACTGTCGGATGTGATCTGTATCACTTGGTGGCGGACAACTTCCTCGAAGGACCAAAGTGCCTTGAAGATCGCTAGAAGCTCGAGGTAATTTATGTGACTCAATGACTCTTGCCAGTTCCACATGCCCTGAGATTGAAGCCCTGCACATACCGCACCCCACCCGACCAGCGAAGCATCAGTATATAGAGTCAGCGTCGAGTGAGGGGTAATGAATGGCGTATCCACGTTTAGATTGGCTGGGGTCATCCAGCAAGTCAATGTTCATATAACAGCGCGGGGCATATGAAGTGGTTTGTCGGGCAAATCTCGTTGTGGACAAAAGTTCTTGTTGAACCAGAGTTGAAAAGGGCGGAACTTCAACCTGGCATGTGGGACAATGGCGACCGTGGCAGCCATATGACCAAGAAGTCTCTGGATTGAGAGCGCTGTAACTATGTTGTTCTGTCGGATCCGAGAGATACAGGAGCGGAGGCTGTCCTGATGAGCTGGAGGGAGGAACGCCCTCGCAACCATGGAATCGAGACGCGCTCTGATGAAGTCTATCACCTGCGTAGGGACAAGGGATGATTTTTCATGGTTAATACAAAGTCCAAGATTGTCCAACAGTGCGCAAGTCACCTTGACGGCTGACAGTAGGCTTTCACGGGTCTGGGAAACTATAAGCCAGTCATCCAGGTAAGGGTACACTTCGATGCCTTGAAGCCGTAGATGAGCACACACTGGTGCCATTCATTTCGTGAAGATCCTCGGGGCCGTGGCCAAACCAAACGGGAGGACATTGAATTCGTATATGTCGGTCCCGACGGTGAAACGCAGAAGACGCCTATGACTTGGATGGATTGAAATATGGAAGCAGGCATCTTTTAGATCAAGTGAGGCAAACCAATCCTCTCTCCTCAGCAGCAGAAGGATATTTTGAAGGGTAGTCATATGAAATTTCTTTGGTTTGATAAATCTGTTGATATTTTGGAGGTCCAAGATCGGACGAAGACCATCCCATTTCAAGACTGTAAAATACCTAGAATAGAATCTGTGAAGCCCGTCGGAGCTAGAAATCCATCGAATTGCGCCCTTATGAAGCAGTTGGTGTACTTCGTCCACTAGTCCTGGAGAGTGTAAATCGGAGTGTAAATCGAATCGGGCTCGACAAAGGGATGGTATCGAATTCTATTCTGTATCTGAACTGAATAATAGACAGGACCCACCGATCAGATGTGATGGACTCCCAATGGGGAGTCGGCCTTGCAGCCGTTCCCCAAAAGGGAGGAGGAAAGGTGGGTGTGGAGGTGGAGGAGAGGTTTGCCTGTCCCATCAGCATTGACACTTCTCCGTATCGAAATGCCGACGGTTCTGCGGGAAACACTGATGGGGTTGTTGGCTTCTGCATTGTGGCCATTGTTGGTACTGTCTCTGTGGCGGCTGGTAGCGGTAGGATGGGTGCAACCATGACCACTTACGTTTTTGCTGTCTGGGCAATTCCATCCGTCTTGCTGTCATACGGGACTCATGGATGGACTTGAGCTTATGGTTGGTGTGCGAATGAAAGAGCCTAGAGCTGTCAAAGGGCATTTCTTCTATTCGCCGCTTCATCTCGTCGGGAAAATTGCAATTCCTCAACCAGGCATGCCTTCACAGTGAGACAGCCCTGACGAGAGCCTTCGAATCCATATCCACATGGTGACATGCTGTGGATAATTGTTGTATAGTGACTTGCATACCCTCCTTGATGAAAGTCCTAGCCAAATCCCATTGTCTCTCAGGCAGGAGAGCGACGATGTTATTCAGCCTCTGCATAATAAAGAATTGATACCTGGCCAGGGTGGCTTCATAGTTAGACATGCGAAGCCCAAGTCCTGCAGCCGCATAGACCCTGCGCGCAAGGGTATTAATCTTGCGGCCCTCCTTGTCTCGGGGGGGTGGTATGTCCCCTGGCTTCCCTGCCCTGGGATGATTAAACCACCACGGAATTCGGCTTAGGATGATGGAGTAAGAAGGGTATGTCACTCTCCCGGACTTGATACATGGATTCGTATCTTCTCACTGTGGGCCGAGTCTGCGAAGGCAAGTCCCAGGGCTGAGTCATCACCTGCCGCAAGGTTGTAATAAGCGGCAAGACAATTGCAGGTGATTGCTCTCCCCTGACAATGTCATAGAACTTGTTGGTGCTTGGATCTGGCTGGTGTTGCGCCTCAATCTCGAGTAACCGAACAAGTCTAGACATGAGCTCTCCGAACAAGATGTGGGGCTCTTCAGGTGATGATGGTCCCTGAGATGTAATAAGGACATCCGAGGAGGTGGAGTCTGCATCCGAGTCAGAGTCGGGCCCAAGGTGATATGGCTCCGACGAGGAAGCCCCTGGTGAAGTGGGACGTTCGGGTTCAACCCGGCTCAAGGTGGATGGCATATCCTCATGGGCGGATGGCGAGGAACGGTCCTGTGGGTGAGGACGAAATCCAAAGGAGTGGTAGTCCTCCCAGCCCGACAGATAACTGTAGTAGGGCTGGAACCATCCTTCTTCCCGCCTTTCGTCCATCCGGGACCGAGGTGGTGGTGAGGTTGGAGATGGGTCTCGAGCTCTCGCCATGGGCATATGAATCGGAGAACGAGCCCTGGAAGGGGAATCTTTTATCTCCCCACTGGAAATCGACTCGCGATGCAGCTCCTCAGGCAATTGAGCAGGTAGGCCCTGTTGGGGGGCAGGTTGTATTGGAGGTTGGTGGGGTAACCTGCATCGCCGCTTGAAGCATTGGTACCAATGGTGTTGGTACCGAAGCTGCTGCCAGGATCGATGGTGCTGTCGAACCCGAATTCCTATGCCTCTTCTTATGGGGCAGTTTAGCCGCCTTGTCTTTCTTCGCCTTCTTATGGGCAGAGGAGTGATCCGACCCTCCATGCTTCCTCTTTTCCCGTTGTTTACATGGGGGAGAAAGAGATTGTTGAGCCCCGGAGGAGGAATTTCCATCATCCGATGGATGCGGCTGAGGCATGGGCAGCGTGGGCAAAGGGCATTGTCCGGGCATGTCCGAGGCAGAGCCTGGGCGTTGAGCTGATGTGGTCGAAGCTACGGTCTTGCTCTTAGCAGATGGAGCATGCGCTGGCCCGGACTTTGCTGCAGGCTGATCCGATTGCATCAGCGCTTGGTCCCATAGGAGCTTTCTCCCTATTTTTTCGCGCTTGCTTAGTAAAATCAAGGCAATGGCAGCATTTATCCATCCTGTGCCCCTCGCTGAGGCAAAGGAGGCACAAGCCATGAGGGTCCGCCGGGGACATTTTGGACGCACATTCCGCACATTTGCGGAAGGCCGCCCACAGCGCCATCGCAGAAAAAGAAGAATTAGAATATAGAAAAGAGAAAAAGGTTATATATATATATATATATATATATATATATATATATATATATATTTAATAGGAATGAAGAAAAGAGAGCTGAAGTTATAACAAGGGGGTAATAACTTGGAATAACAGCAACAACAACAAGAATATTAGAACAATAAAAATAACGAACAAATACTGAGTCGAGCGAGAGACGAACAGGCACGAGGCACAGCGAACGGCGGTCGCAAAAGACTGGAGAAAATGGCGGACACTCCGCTCTATATATACTACCGAGGGGGAGGGGAGTGGAGTTTTCCTGCCAAAACCATTAGCTTTCAATCTTTCCGGCCTAGGCACTGCACAGGCGCAGCACTCTGTGTGATGCACAGAGGCCACAACGAAGAACAGTATAAAACTATTTTAAAAATTGCAAGACATTAAAACATTCAAAGAACAGCGCAACATTAATGTCACGGAAAACTGAAATCAACTTACCTCCAGGGCTGCATGACTGATTGCAGAAAAGGGTTTCCAGGAGTGGCAGAAAACCGCTGGAGAGGAAGGCCGGCAGGCAGTGCAAGGCAGAAGCTCCAGAGGCCGGGAGTGAGCACAGAAAAGGCCCTGTCCCAGAGGTGTGGGTGGGGCACACACAGAAGAGCCTCGGTGAGTGGCCGCGGTGAGCAGGTGCATTCCTCTGAAAGAAGGTGGGCCCTCGGGAATTTTAGTCCCACCCATAAAGGACTTCACAGGTTATATGCAGTGCTTTGGGCTGGGAAGCAAAACAGACCAAAGAACTCTCTTTTCTCAGCCCTGAATTCTTGCCAATCTCTGAGCCAAGGAAGAACATGTATTCTTAACCTCATTCTCCAGAGCACCCATAATGTTCAGTACCTCTTTCATGTTACCTTCCTTTGCCATTTCTTTGCTCTTCAACTAAAATGTGCTAAACGTTTTAGTCTTTGCATCTAGACAGTGTGGCAGCTTTTCACACTTTTCTGCATTTTCCAACTCCATTACTCCTCCTTGGAGACAGAACCAGAACTGTGTACAATATTCTAAGTGTGTCTGTCCACATCATAGATTTAATGGAATAATAATACAGGCCATTTGCTTTTTGGTACCTTTCCTAATAATCCTAGCACACCTTTTCCACAGAAGCTGAATTGATCCATCTCTCTTCCCCTGGAGAGTCACCATCAGTTCAAAGCCCACAGTAAAACTAAGATCATTTGCCCTAGTGTGCATTATGTTCCATTTGCTTACATTTAAATTCATTTCAATTTTGTTCGATATTACTGTATGTGGAGATTTTTTTTTAAAGGACTGTTTGGCTTCCACTTGGAATTTAACCAACCGCAATCATTTGATGACAACCATAAAGTTGGCCACTTCACTGCCCACTTCTGTTTCCAGACCATTTCTTTCTTGAAGGGCACTGATGCTTATAGGACGTCACTACTTAATACCTTCCATTTTGAGAACTGCCTGTTTACTCCTCTCAGCTCCCTCTTCTTTAACCAGGTACCTTCCTGTAAAAGGACCTGCCTCTGGACAAGAAACTCTGACACTCTTGAACTACATTTCAAGAAAAGCTTTTAACAAGCAGTGCGCACCTTTCCACACACTGCTTGACACTCAGTTCCAAAAGGCGGAAAAGAAAGGACTACTCTTGACAAAAGTGAGGCTTGCTCTTTTGCATGTTGAAGAATCTAAGCTCATCTCTTGCTTTCTATCAACCTAAGCCGGGAGGTATGTTTGGAAAGGAAAATGTGGAAGCCTAGCAAATACTTCCAATCTCACTTTGATGAGATGGATCACACCACACAGGGAAGACATCTTTATTGCTTCGGCATGTCCGGAAATAAAAGGGACCATTTTGCAGAGCCATTGGGAGTTGCTTGCATGTTTTGGATGCTTCCACAGGAACACTGTAAGATTCTCATACTTGGAATAAAGGAGTGGCTTTCTTGAAAAACACCTGCAGAGCTTGCAATCCTAGTCATGCACCCACTAACAGCTACTGAATGGGGAAGGGAAAGAAATCGGTCTTCAAAAGAGCATCACTCCCCACACCAATAGTGGCCTTGGCACTCTTAAGACAACTTTTGGCAAGGAAGATAAACAGAAGGGAAAAAAACACCAAGATATTGTAACAATTGTGCTTGAAACCAGTCAAGCCACTTTTTTATTTCTTTACCTTAAAAAATACCACCACCGTCCTTTAATGCTGGAAGTATACATGTTTGTTTTATACAGGCTACATCTATCATCCTCAGAAATCCCTCCAGCCCACCCACCCATGGCAACGTACAGACTGATACGAGTTTACATAATATTAGACATTAAAACAGGCTTCTAAAGATGGCAGATGAGGAGAAGGTCTTTGAAGCGCCCTTCCACCTGCTGGTGTCTCAGTCAGAGGGGCACTGCTTGTGTTTCACGCAATAATAAACTCAGAGGTACAGGCGGATGCTGTTGCTTGCACTGAGGCAGACTGCTCTGGCAGTCCTGATCATTCCAGACTCTCAGCTTAAGATACTACAGGGACCAGAAAGGCAGAAGGCAGAGAAAAAGACTCCAAGAGGAGTTCTGCATCCTTCCTACTGTGGGATAGCCTTTGCATCTAGAAAAATGGGAAGGAATCAGTGGGGGGAGAGAGGGAGGAGTCATTGCCCTGTATACCAATTATTCTGGAGTAAAGTCATCTAATTTAGTGTTGTTACCACATGACTAGATAGGTGTAGGTAATGAGATGACATAACTGGACATCAGTTTGCTCAACAATTGAAAAGGAGCTTATGAGAAAGAAAAATCACTTTCACTTCCATGTGGCCAAAAGCCCCACAAAATGTATTTTTATCTACTGACCACACAAAGACCAAGGGGAACTATTTTTCCTATGGACAGAAGTAAAAGCCAGCACTAAGAGACCAGCAGTTAAAATTGTAGCGGCACAAAAGCCAAGTACTGATGTCCAGAGGCAAAATCAGGAGCTGGACTACTGAATGCTCTTTCTAAAAAATTAAGGAATCCAAGTATAGGGTTTCAGGTAGTATGGAAATTAGACCTAATCAGGTTAGAGATTCAGTCCATGGAAGCCCAAGCTAGGCAAATTAATGCCGTTAATGCACAAATGCACAGCTCTAGGGAGGCCCTTTTGTCACTTGAAGTGTTTTCCAGGGCCTCCTTCGGCCAATGCAATCTACTTTATACGGGTCTCCGTTCTACCTCAGCATGTCAGTAAATTCATGCAGGTTTGCATTTCTGAGAGTCTTAGGTCAAAGTCTGCTCCATTCAGGACTGAGGACAGGGGGCAAGGTTCTCCTGGTGGCTTCACTCCCTAGAGGCGAGCATGCATTAAAAATGCAACAAAGAAGGGAAAGGTGTGTATGTATTTCTCCTGCTTGCATCCCTTGCATGTACATGAGGAATGATCAGGAAAGGAAGTGGCCATCCTCATACACACAGACACAAGTGCCCCATGGACACAGGCGCACACGGGCTGGCTGTTGTTTCGAAGTCTCCACCCATCACGTTAAGGGGCTCTTGGCAGAAGCTGCTCTGGAAGGCGGCCCTCTTCAGGGAGAAGAACCAATTTCATGGCATCGCAGAAAACTGAGGCCAGAACACACCCGTGTCTTTTGACCAAGCGAATGGCTGCCCACACTGAAGAACTGCTGCTTCGGTCTGACTGCATGTTTCAGGCAGATGCTAAAATGGGCACCTTAGACACATCCCGTGTGTTTCTTCTGCAACCAGTGCAAAGGTGGAAAACATGGGTTCTGAAGAAGTCCACACAGGCAAAAGGATAAGGAAAAGATAAACTGGGGAGAAATGCATCAAAAGCTTTCTCCTTTTGTTGCTACTTCCAGAGAGGCCCTGCATTCAAAACTATCAATGCCCACTGGGGGGTGACTGACCCAGCAGGTGACCTCCACTAGACCAGGGGAATCAGGGTTGACCCACCAACCTGCAGGCGCAATTGTGACTGGAGCACGGCAATCCGATCCTGCAGAGGCCACACCACGCGCCCTGCCAGCAGTCCTCTTGCCAAATGCCTGGATCCTTGAGACTGAATGGCATGGATAACCCAAAGCAGTGCTTACTCCATTAATTAAATTGAGACTACCGTGCTGGGAAAAACACACACATCTACACAGAGGTCTGCACAGCAGAAGCCCAGTGAAGCCCGTTGGCAGCACTCATGGCTGCAAAAGAGGCGCTTTGGAACGGCCACTGTCACCCAAGGGACAACTGCGCTGGCAAAGGCATTGCTGAAACAAGGGCACAGACAACACAGTCACAAAACTACACAGATATGCTCTCCACTTGGCTAAGTCTTTCCACCTAGGAATATAATAATTACTTGCCCTGGAGTCTCTTAGCTCCTGCAGCACCATATGGCACATGACATCTCACTGGGACACTCAGCCAATACAGCGGCCATTCCCCATCTCACTTCCCGTCTTTGGCTAAGTGGGCCCAACTAAATAACAAGCCAAAAACAGATTCTCTCCCAGACTCACTGAAAACAGGCTCACGGGAACCATTTTTAAAAAACATTTTCCAACTTCTGTTATGTTTGACACTGTATGCTCCAGACATGACAGAAGAATTTATGAGAAGTCAAAAGAATTTAAGAGAACTCACATTTTTATCATCTGGTCCTGTGAGGCACAGGCTGCCCTAAACCATACAGAGTGGAGAAAGGACAAAGTGTCACCTATCAAAAAGTGTTCAGGGAATGACTTAGCCGAGAAAGACGAGTAGCTGAGCTGCACTACACGAAGGCTTGTTTCCCTTATTATTGTTTCTTGGAAAGGACACAATTTGGAATGTATAGTATCCCAGATAATTTTCCCTCTTTAGTAATAAAGGCAGCCTTATGAAAAACTATAAATAAGCTAATTAAATATTTTGATACTAAAATGGAGAAGGCTGAACCACTGCATAATATGAAGACAATGGAGGGACTATGGCTTTTTTCTGAGATAATTGGAAGGAATCCAGCCTTCCCAACATGGCCCTCCTGCAAGAATCTTGCAAAACCACCAGCCACTGCTGTTCTTCTCACGGACTTCAAACAAGGTCCCTTCTTTAAAGCTGCTTGTTTCTTCATCTCCTTCAAAATCTGCTACAGCCACATAGAGGGCGTCTTTGGAGACATCTGAATTGGTAATAGGGACGGACGCTTTCTCCCTCTCCAGGGCTTTTGGTGCTGCCTTTTGGCTTAAGCCACTTTTGGCTTTGGTATCCTCTTGACAGGGAGCTGACAGGAAGCCTTTGGCTTTTGGTGGGACCATCATGGGCCTGCCAGGCCCCTGGGTAGCTCTGACGTCAGGCACTTCCCTCTGGGGGGCTTTAAGCTCAGGAGAGGGGGCAAATGAAGATACGGGTGGTGGCACAGAAGCTTTCTTAGGAGGTGGTGGCCTTCTGGGTGGTACTACCGGCCGTTGTGGTGGTTCCCTGGGAACAGGAAAGCTGCTCTTGGGCTCACTCTCGCCTGCCTTCGAGGAGCCAAAAGAAACCTTGGGGGAAGCCGTTTCCTTAAAGACTTGGCTGTCTGGTCTGGACGAAGCCCTCATCTCTACATTTGGCCTTTCCTGAGATCTGACAGAGGATTCTCCTGGAAGCACGCTGTTGCTGAAGGCACTCTCACTGGACACGGGGTCCTGCTCAGAAGGCCTCTCCTGCGCCTTTGCAGGCCTGAGCTTGCTCCTCAGATTGCAAATGTCCAGCTTATCATCTGCCTGGGGAGCATCAGTCCTGGGGGCTGCTGTCGGCGGCTTGGGTCTGAGCTGAGGTTTCGATTTCAGGAAAGGGTTTGGGGCAGCTTGCTCAGGCTTCTCCTCCGGGGCCTCAACCTTTGGCTTAGCTGGCTTCACAGTGGGCCGGAGGTTTGGCTTCTTTACCTCTTTGGGAGAAACTTTGTGTCCACACTCTAATCCCATTTCATTTTTCAGCTGGAACAATTTCCCCTTCTCTGTTTTGAGCTCTGGTTTCTTGCTGTCCCTTGGAGGGACAGCCTGCTTTGGTGGCATAGCAGGCAAAATCAGGCCAGGAGGCTTTGGAGGCGGCCTCTGCTCCAACCGCTGCCTTTCCATTAACTCCTCTTCGGATTTAATTATGGATTCTTTCCTTGGAGGGAGGCTTGGTTTCTCCTCTGCATCCCGGTCAGGGATCTCTTCATACCCCACACACAAAGCTGCATCGCTGCTCTCGGGCACAGCGCCCTTGGAAGCCTCCTTCCCTTTCCATTTCACCCCACAATCTATACCATTAGGTGGTGCTTCAGGCAGGGGCCTGGATGGCCCAGTGGCTTCCCCATTAGAGCTGCTCTCTGCTGCACTATCGCCCGGCTGGAGCGGTGTGGTTTCATTTGGCAGCGGTGCTAAGAAGTTAGGTCTAGATGCATTGCTCGTTTTCTTGTATTTGTCAATAAAGGTAGCCGGTGCCCAGCCTTCCTTCTCCATGATCTGAATATACCACCAGCCACTCACGTTCTTCTCAATCACCTGGAAAAAGCCACAAAGCCGGCATGCCTTAGAACCTTAACACACACTGCTTCGTGTGATCCAATAAATAGTGGGTGTGCTACATCTACTGGGTGGAAGAAACTGTAAAAGGGAGTGTGCATCACATCCAAGAGCACAACAAGACATCCTCGGCTTCCAGGAGCATCCTCTTAAACCATCACTAGACCTCCATTCACCAGTGCTGTAGACTAAGAGATCAGTTATGCAGGACACAAAACAGCAGGAGTTGCTTCCACTTGACAAGGAATTACTAGTTGCAACTCTGCAGCAATTTGATATGAGACAGTAACAGATTAATTTCCTCAGCGGTGCACCACTATGTTCTCTGAGTATGAACATTCTTTTTTAGCTTGTCCTGTCAATTTTGTAGAGGGCCTGAATCTTGTTAGCATTTTACCATACAATCTAGAATTAAAATGAGGAATTGCTGAGGGTTTCAGGTTTTCTCATATTGGTGTTAACAGTGGCCAAACCTCACCCTTTACCTCTGGTCAACAGTCCTTGCTGTTGAATTTTCCAGAGTATGAAAATGGCCAGAAAATGTGTGTCATTTCACAGGAACACAGCTAAGACACTTTATGTCTGCACACCTAAAAATGGAGGGTGCTTTTGTAGTGCATGCACCTATACACAGGTATGCTCAGTAGTAGCTATGATTGGATTTAACTCCCTTTACAAGAATAAAGGTAAAGGAAAAGGTAAAAGTTTCCCCTTGACATTAAGTCCAGTCATGCCTGACTCTAGGGGGTGGTGCTCATCTCCGTTTCCTAGCCGAGGGAGCCAGCGTTTGTCCGCAGACAGTCTCCATGGCCATGTGGCCGGCATGACTAAACACCAAAGTGCACGGAACGCTGTTACCTTCCCACCAAAGTGGTACCTTTTTCTCTACTTGCATTTGGATGCTTTTGAACTGCAAGGTTGGCAGGAGCTGGGACGGAGCAATGGGAACTCACCCCATGGTGCAGATTTGAACCGGTGACCTTTCGATCAACCAGCCCAGCAGCACAGCAGTTTAAACCACTGCGCCACCTGCATCCCTATGCTTTACAAGAATACTGGGCAGCAAATTCAGGTTTGCCTCTACATAATGTATGAAATGGCCAGATATTAATGGCAAAGGTGCACACCATATTCCACTTGTTTCTGAGTAATCTGTTCTACTATGTGAAATGCATTACTCTGTGCTTAGATGTTCATGCATCATGTACAGAGCATTAACAGTAGTGGGCTACCTCCCAAATCACCTCATTTCTGCCTGCCACCTGGGTAGAGAGCATATCTCTGGACCAAAAAAGCATAGCCACTAGATGTCAGTATTGAGCCACCTATGAGGACCAATGCTTGCTTTAATGGCACAGATGCATTCCTGTGGGAGAAATCTCATGAAGGAAACAATGCAAATTCATGGAAAGTGAGTGGCTGTGTTCATGGCCTGTATTACCATAACCAAAACCGTTTCATTTTGACCACAACACAGAGGGTCCACTCACCCAGCACATGGGTACAGCAAAGGAAGGCTCTCTTGCATCGCTTAAAGAATCAGGTAAGAGCACTGGTCCAACAGACAGCCTTCTTCAGATGTTTTGGGCTGCAACATCCCCAGCTGGCATGGCCACTGGAGGGCGCCAGGTCCAGGAACGCTGCATTGGAATGCTGGAAGACACACTTTGGGACCCCATGGCCACACTGACCTGGAATGCACCTTCACACGGACACACACAGAACCCTGCAGGGCTCAAGAAATGAATGTGGGAACAGCTTCTATGCATTGCGCGAGCCTATGAGATAGGTGCTGCCAAACACAAAGGGCTGACATGGAGGTAGTAGGCATCCTGGTGCCCTCTGGAGGCTTTGGTCTACTACTCCCATGATCCTCAACTGCCAGGAAACAGACATGAACTTTGCAACAGTGTAGAAGTGGCAAAGCAAATCAGGAAGTTTGCTTCTGCCCATATGCTTGTGACCTTGACTCTTGTGGTAAGAAAATAATAATATAAAATATAATATTGTATTATAAAAACAATATTTCAAATTTATTATAAAATGTAATTTATATTATAACATACTGATATTAATATTAATTAAAATAGAATTTTAGACTTATACTTTGGGACATATATAAATTTCTTACATTTTAAGGCTATTCCTAATTTAAATTGCTTCTTCTCCTCCTTTATCCCCTTCATGGATCACTGCCTTGCTGTGGCAAAGGGGATGGCATAGCACAATGAAGTTATGAGCTATGCCATGCAGGGCCACCCAAGATGGAGAGGTCATAGCAGAGAGCTCTGACAAAACATGATCCACTGGAGAAGGAAATGGCAACCCACTCCCGTATGCTTGCCATGAAAGCCCCATGGACAGTATCCAAAGGCTAAAAGATAGCTGCCAGAAGATGAGCTGCTCAGGTAAGCTGTCCATTGTGCTACTGGGGAAGAGCAGAGGACAAATACAAGTAGTGCCAGAAAGAGTGAAGTGACAGGGTCAAAGCTGCAATGACACTCAGCTGCGGATGTATCTGATGGTGAAAGGAAAGTCCAATGCTGCAAAGATCTATACTCCATAGGAACCCGGAATGTAAGATCTATGTATCAAGGTAAGCTGAACATGGTCAAACATGAAATGACAAGACTGAACATCGACATGTTGGGAATCCGTGAACTAAAATGGACAGGAATGGGTGAATTTAATTCAGATGAGCATCAGGTATACTACTGCAGGCAAAAATCCCTCAGAAGAAATGGAGTAGCCATCATAGTCAATAAAAGAGTAGGGAAAGCAGTACTGGAATACAGTCTGTAAAATGACAGCATGATCTCAGTTCAAATCCAAGGCAAACCATTCAACATCACAGTAGTCCAAGTCTACGCCCCAACCAGTGATGCTGAAGAGGCTGAAGTTGACTGGTTCTATGAAGACCTACAACACCTTCTAAACATAGCACCACCAAAAGATATCCTTATTGTCATGGGGGATTGGAACACTAAAGTAGGAAGTCAAAATGTAACCAGAATAACAGGCAAGTTTGGCCTTGGAGTACAAAATGAAGCAGGGCTAACAGAATTTTGTCAAAGAACATGCTGGTCATAGCAGACACTTTTTTCCAACATCCCAACAGACAACTCTACTCATGGACATCACCAGATGGTCAACACAGAAATCAGTAGGCCACTCAGGTATGACCTCAATCATATCCCTTATGAATATACAGTGGAGGTGACAAATAGATTTACAGAATTAGATCTGGTAGAGAGAGTGCCTGAAGAACTATGGACGGAAGTTCACAACATTGTACAAGAGGTAGCAACTAAAACCATCCCAAAGAAAAAGAAATCCAAAAAAGCAAAATGGCTGTTTGAGGAAGCTTTACAAATAGCTGAGGAAAGAAGGGAAGTGAATGGCAAAGGAGAAAGGGAAAGATACACCCAACTGAATGCAGAATTCCAGAGAATAGCTAGAAGAAATAAGAATGCCTTCTTAAATGAACAGTGCAAAGAAATAGAGGAAAACAATAGAATGGGAAAGACTAGAGATGTCTTCAAGAAAATGGGAGATATCAAGGGAATATTTCATGCAAAGATGGGCATGATAAGGGACAAAAATGGCAGGGACATAACAGATGCAGAAGAGATTAAGAAGTGGTGGCAAGAGCACATAGAAGAACTATACAAGAAAGAGCTTAACGTCCCTGATAACCATGATTGGGTGGTCACTGACCTCGAGCCAGATATTCTGGAGTGTGAAGTCAAATGGGCCTTAGGAAGTCTTAGCAACAACAAAGCTAGTGGAGGAGACGGTATTCCAGATGAGCTATTCAAAATCTTAAAAGACGATGCAGTAAAAGTGCTACACTCAGTATGCCCGCAAATTTGGAAAACTCAACAGTGGCCACAGCATTGGAAAAGGTCAGTTTACATTCCAATTCCAAAGAAGGGCAATGCCAAAGAATGTACAAACTACTGGACCATTGCACTCATTTCACATGCTAGCAAAGTTATGCTCAAAAACCTACAAGCTAGGTTCCAGTAGTATGTGGACCGAGAACTATGTAAATTGCAGGCAGGGTTTTGAAGAGGCAGAGGAACGAGAGATCAAATTGCCAACACACGCTGGTTCATGGAGAAAGCAAGGAGTTCCAGAAAAACATCTACTTCTGCTTCATTGACTATGCTACAGTCTTTGATTGTGTGGATCATAACAAATTGTGGCAAGATCTTAAAGGAGATGGGAGTACCAGACCATCTTACTTTTCTTCTAAGAAACCTGTATGTGGATCAAGAAGCAACAGTTAGAACTGGACATGGAACTACTGATTGGTTCAAAATTGGGAAAGGAGTACAAGGCTGTATACTGTCGCCCTGCCTATTTAACTTATATGCAGAGCACATCATGAGAAAGGCGAGGCTAGATGAACCACCAGTTGGAATTAAGACTGCTGGGAGAAATATCAACAACCTCAGATAGGCAGATGATACCATTCTAATGGCAGAAAGTGAAGAGGAACGAAACAGCCACTTGATTAGGTGAAAGAGGAGAGTGCAAAGTTGGCTTGAAACGCCACATTAAGAAAACTAAGATCATGGCATCTGGTCTTACCACTTCCTGGCAAATAGAAAGGAAGAAATGGAGGTAGTGACAAATTTTATTTTCTTGGCCTCCAACATCACTGCACACTGTGAATGAAGACAAGAAATTAAAAGACACTTGCTCCTTGGGAGGAAAGCTATGGCAAATCTGGTCAGCATACTAAAAAGCAGAGACATCACCCTGCCAACAAAAGTGCGTATAGTCAAAGCTATGGTTTTCCCAGTTGTAACGTAGGGCTGTGAGAGTTGGACCATAAGGAGAACTGAGTACTGAAGAATTGATGCCTTTGAATTTTGGTGCTGAAGAAGACTCCTGAGAGTCCTTGGACTGCAAAGAAATCAAAACAGTCAATCTGAAAGGAAATCAACCCTGACTGTCCTTTAGAGGCCAGAGACTAAAGATGAAACTCAAATACTTTGACCACCTAATGAGAAGGAAGGACTCACTGGAGAAGACCCTGATGCTGGGAACAACTGAGGGCAAAAGAAGGAGGGGACGGCAGAGGTTGAGGTGGCTAGATGGAGTCACTGGGGCAGTGAGTGTGGGTTCGGGTGGACTCTGAGGAATGGTGGAGGACAGGAGAGCCTGGAGGAATGTTGTCCAAGGGGTCGTGATGAGTCGGACAAGACTTTGTGACTAAACAAAACAAAAAACAACTTTACAAAGTTCATGTCATTTGGACCTCATGCCTTTTCTTTCTCTGATTTCTGGCACAATCACTAACAATTGGTTTATGGGAGTTGTAGGCCAAGACTTCTGCAGGACACCAAATTGATCACTCATGCTTTAGCATATGCATTATTAGAACAATGCTAGCATGTTAGCCAGTGAAGAACAGAGGCCTTATCCTAAATGAGATGTGACTTTGATTGCTTCTACACTGAGCCATCCAGAAGATCCCCAGGGGTTTGATGAAGGACGGGGCACGATGAATTCTCACCTCCAATTTCATTCCTGCTTCAAAGCTGATGCCATCAGGGATGGTGGTCTGGAAGTCAGCAATGGTGTAGTATTCCTCTTCCACTTGAGGAGGCACAGGAGGTTTGGGCAAGTTGAGGCCACGTGGCTGTTGCAGCAAGACAGACAGACACAGCACAGATCAGCTGACCTCCAGCTAAGGAAGAATGGCCATGTGAGGTACCCACACCCACACTGAGGGCCTTGCTTAGTGCACGAGTTCAAGTGGCTGAACTGATGTTTGAGACATGGTGGACCCACACAACTGGCAAACCACTTTTTTATTATTTATTAATTTTTCGATTTATATCCTGCCTTTTTCCTACAAAGGGCTCAAGACAGCTTACATCATTCTCCTCCTCCATCTTATTCCCACAACAACAACCCTGTGAGGTAGGTTGGGCTGAGAGTCTATGACTGGCCCAAAGTCACCCAGGTGGCTCCATGGCTGAGCGGGAACTAGAACCCAGATCGCCTGAGTTCCAGTCCCATGCTCTTAACCACTACGCCACACTGGCTCTACATTGGCTTTTTCCACTGGAGTCCACACAGCATCAAACATGCTAGAGAAATATTCTGGGCCTGGGCATAGAAAGGAACTTCCAGAGTTCACGGTGGTTGTTTGAAAGAAGAAGCCAACTCCAGACATTCCAGAATTTTCCAGATTAATGTCAAGAGGACCATCCCCAGCTTCAGCCCTGTTCTGGGGAAAACTTTGCAGAGGAAGCAAAAGCCACATCATTTGGAGGAAAGTCTTTTTACTCAGAAGGTCTTTACCTGTACTGTTGGGGAGGGATACTGCTACTCCCAATGCACTTTCTCTAAAGAAGGAACGTAAGGGGATTTCTGTGGTATGAAGGTTCCCCACAGAGGAACCTTCCTCTGGCTTTCTGTTCCAGCTTTCCCTTTGAAAGGTTCCCAGTGGCAAAGCAACAGAGAAATGAGTCTGTTTCTTTGCCCCAAAAGCTGTTGCAAAGGGACAAAATGGAGGAGGGGGCAAGGAATGGAATGGCTCAGAAAATTTAAATTTCCTTTAAAATAGCTCAGTTTGGTTTGGCATCAACCCAAGGCAAGGCTCGGCAAACTCACCCACCTCTACACAACAGTGGACTCTAGCAGGGGCTGCCAGGGCCTTGCAGGAGGTTTCCTTGTTCCATCTCCAGTCCAGAGAGAGAGACTGTTATGCACAGTCACTCCTGTGTGGAGCTGACAAGCAAAGGTTCCTGGGCCACTTCCCATGTAACAGAGCCAGTCTGGGTGCTCTGCCCCAGTTGCGAGGGAAGTAAGCTTATTTCGTAGCAGACACCTTGAGAACTGCCGTGGCTGATGCGGCATATTGCAGATGACTGCCACATGTAACTGTAGGAAAGAAACCCACAGAGCTACTTCAAGTGCCCTGCATAGAGCATCTGTAAGATGAGAATCCCTCAGTTGGCTCAGGTAAGAAATGAATTCCTTGGGGCTTCAAACCAAACTCCTGCAGCAGCTTTGTACAGAGTCATGCACATAAGAATCCCAAACAGGAACCTTAAGGAAACATCTTGTGCTGTAAGTTTGTGCTTTAATAGAAACATGCGGAAATTGCTACTTTCCCCTTTAAGTATACGGGGGTGCTGGCTCAACCATTCTGTAAATTCTAGCCATTTACTCGCTTCCATAGATGTTTGAATATAGCCCTTTTAAAATGGCCCTTCACAACTGTTTTGCTATATTCATGGCTGACATAAGGGAATTTGTGCACAAGTCCAAAAGGTAACCAGAAAAGGGTTCTTCCCTCCTACCACTGGTCTAGTTTCTTTTGTTCTATAGCTAGAACAAAAGAAATGCCCCCAAATGCTCCAACATTCCTCCAACTTAAACACAACTGAGGACAATACTTACAATAGTGAGGTCACGACGAGGAGGGGGCCTCTGCCTCATCTTTGGTGACTCTGTAAAGAAGATATTTCATGGTGATTTAAAGATATCTCAGTACAAGGCGTTAAGTGCCGGCAAAGAAGCTCAAGCATCTTTCTAGCCCTTTCTCTCCTCTCAGCTGACCAGATGCCAGTGGAAAAAAGGCATTCCGGTGAATGACACAGAGGAGGTCCAGAAAAGCGAAGGTGAAAAGATATAGGCAGCTGCATGAGAGAGTCACTTCATCAGATCTTTATCCAAATACAATCCTATACTCGAATCTTGGATAGTCTGGATTCCTAGATGCAAATGCCAAACATCTGGCACTCGAGAGGGCTTTTATTCAAGTAGCAGCACAAGTTAGCATGACAATGCGTGTGTAGAATCAGCCATGCAGCAATTCTATCTAGAAAAGGATGTAAGGATTGTTTACCTCTTTTCCTAGTGCTTCATTAGAGAAAGAGAGAAGGGAGAGCGGTGTGTGAAATATGCCATGCAGGATGCCAGCGATGCCCGGAGCCCTCACAGGCCAGGCTTCCTGAACCGCCCGCAACACCCACCCATGCTCATGCAGTCTTATACTGGAGTGGCCACAATGCTCCAGAGCCCTGAGAGCTGCTCTGCATCTGAACGGAAGGAGTGGCTCACTGCTGTCAACTTACTTCGCCTCAAGTCCGCGTTTGGCAATGGGCGACCATCAAATCTTCCGTCTCTTTGGCTGTTCGGCCCATCCTTGTCTCTGCCTGTTGAGTTCTGCTGCCGAGAAATTCCATCTAGATCCAGTGCATACGAGTGGGCAGAAGTGGAAGCTCCCACTTTTGGTGCAAACGTGTCCCCGCTCCCCTTTTTCAGGTATGATGCTGGGGCCCAGCCCTCCTGACCCTGATACCTGGCGAAATAGGAGCTCGTGGTTAGTCTAGTCATTTGGAGCAAGGTCACCTTGCTCCTATTCTGGCAAAAAATCATGAATGCAATACCAGTACACAAGGGGGTACAATCGTGGTCCCGTGTTACATTTTGCGCTGAAAGATTGACCAAGAAAGTGACTTAGAATCATGGAACAGTAGTGGAGTTGGAAGGGCCCACGAAGGCCATCGGGTCCAGCCCCTCGCTGCTGCAGGACACCACGTTACACCATCCCACTCAGACTTGCTATTCCAGTTTCCTGGTGCCTGACAGATGCTTTCTTGGGCTACTGAGTAGCTCAAGCACTAACACTAATGCTCATATAATGTTGATTACGGTGATCTGCTTTTGCATGTGGAGGCATCTAAGGCAGCTGCACCTCATTCTAAGAAGACAGCAGCATGCTGCACTGAAACAACCAGCCTCCAGATCAGGCATGGATAACGACAGACTAGGCAGCAGGACTGACTTGGAACAGGAGTATCCGGCCCACTTCTGAGTGGATTAATAAAGAGCCGCCGTGCATTTATGCACATTCCCGACACTGGATAATAACATTGTTACTCAAGTGTGGCAGATCTATTACAAGTCAAGGATGTTAACTAATGGAAATGCCCAAGGCAGACAAATTAGGGCTGTATCGTGTACTGCGGGATTTAGTGGGCACATAGTTATACACAGTGCATACCCGCAGTGTTCCCCTAACACTTGAGGGGAAGGACATGAGGGGCAGTACTTTTTTCACCAGACACACACTGTATACACGCGCTGCAAGGCAATCACATCCCACCATGGAACATACACACTGCTTGCTTGCTTGCATGTTGAAAAGACGGGGTGCTTCTCGTATTACAGGAAACAACAACGGCTCTGAAAGAGGTGCAGCTACTTTACTGTAACATGCAAAGCAGCCTGAGTCTTCACCTTCTAAGGTTGTTCCCTGGAAAATACGGAGAAGTCCAGTTCTTCAGCACTTGCAGCTTATTTTCTTACACTAAAACCCTAAAGCAGCTGCTTGGCCTTATAAAAATATCCTCCCTCCCTCCCTCAGCCTTCATTGGGTCCATGCCCACCCAGCACACCTGGCAGGAACCATGAGTGATGGCAGGCACAGGGCAATGCCACCTCGAAGGCCGTCTAGACAATGCCTGCTACTCTGCCTTTAACACACTTGGGCTTTCCCTGCTTAAAATGCCAGCACACTTTTTCTAGAGTGATGGCTTGCCCATGTTACAAGTTCAGTGAAGGTTATGGAAATCAAAGCATGCTTTCTGTCTTGTAAGCAATGCTTTTCGAAGAACAGCCTAGGTTCAAACTTAAAATTAACCTAGCCCGGAGTCCTCAAGCTATTTAAGTGTGGTGTTCCTTCAAAGGAATCAAGGTGAGTCTAGCAAAATAATGGATCTGAGAAGAAGCTCCACCAGCAACTAGTGATGAAGATCTATGCTGAAGAAGCATGACATCGAGGTGTGGACCGTTTGCCCCAGAGCCCTTTTTTTCCTTTTCAGAATGTAGCCATGGAAGTGCAGTCTTAGTGGAAAATGTGTGTGTGTGTACATATCTTTCCCATCCAGTGAATTCAGTTCTGACACTAGTTTTTGTCCTCTGAGAAGTATATATGGGTTTAGCCTTTAGCAAGAGTATGAACAGCATGGAACTTACAAGAGTCTGTCTGCCTCTGCCACAGATCTTCAGATTATAGACAATCTAGCTCAGGTATATTGCACGGATATATTTTTTTTAACATGAGCAACTTGTTTCTCCAAATACATCTGAACCCAGAAGCATGGTCTCTGCAGTTCTTCTATCCTGTGTGGCCATCATATCCTGCTTACAAAGCAACCACAACTGTATTCACTTGGGCCAGAAAAAACCCAAATAGATAGGATGGGCAGAGTAAGCACAAGAAAAAAGTCTCATGCCATGATCAAATCTAATGCACCAACCTGTGTGCCATCCAACATTTTCAAATGAGGTGAATATCTTATCAACCACTTTTCAAATGAAGCAGCCATTATATCAGTGACTGTCTGTCTGTCTTTCTTCAAGTACATACTGTGTAATAAAGAGTTTTACCATTAAAGGAAAATAAGTTTCCTACTTTAGACAAGTGGACTCCAGAGGTCACTACAGCAGGATGTGGTCGAAGCCAAAACTTTAGCAGGATTTGAGACATTAAGTCCCCCTCCCCCCACCAACAATTCATCAACTTGAAACACTGCAATTGCTGGAAGAAATACAACATCCAACCTGAAAAGTAAAAGCTAATTTGTTAAGAGCACTCATTTTATTTGTAGTGGGGTTGGGAGACAGGGCATTTAACACATTTCTAAAGAGTAAGAAACCTGTCGTACTCTCCCCACCACACAGAGACATCCTAAGACCACAAATGCTTTTTCTTTTGAAAAGCACAGCAATCAAGGTATTTGTGCAAAATAATTCTTCTAACATGTGCATTGTTTTATATTGGCCTGCCTAGAGCATTTATGACTAGCCCCAAGTCTATTCTGAAGTCCTTGAGCCATGAAGGCCAAATAAGTCAGCTTTTGTGTAACTACTGTCTCTTAGCATACATTTGTCCCTTATGTCCTTCAAAATGTTTTGAGTATTTTCCTGTGTTCGTGTCATTGCTGCTTGCAGATTAAAAACATATGTAACACAGTCACTGGGCAATATCAAATGTAGTTTCAGTGGTGCATTAGACCCTTTTACATGGGGACCACATCCTTCACATATTTCCAAAATGCTTGAATATGTTGACAGCAACACTGTATTTGCAAAATGAAGTTTTCCCACACATTCTACCCAGCACCCCCCATTGCCCCATATAAAAATTGTACTAATGGGATGTACCATCTGTTCACAGTTCTATCAGCAATTCTTTTTCACAAGGCAAGTGAAGAGTAACATAGCCCAAACAAGTCACTTTTATGTGTCTACTTCTCTCCCTCAAGAGCACCAAATTTTTATCTCCCAGAACAGGGATGAAACCCCAGTATATGCATTCTTCTACAGCAGGAATGTCTAACTTCTGGCCTGCAAGACAAAACTGGAATTCCTGGGATCCCAACCTGTCTTTCCAGGTTTCCCAGATGGCTATGACCCTCCTCCTGGAGCCATCCCTTCTCCAACAATATTTGGTGGTTTCTCAGGGTTTGCTCCCCACCCCCTCACTTCCAACACATTGACATGCCTCTCCTAAGGCGTGTTTACTGACTATAAGCTAAAAAATGAGGGTGTTTTGGTCCTGTCCCCTTTGCCCATTGCTGGAGAGCTCCTGCAGAGCTGGATTTGGTCTCAGGGCTGGAAGAGGACCCAAACCCCTGCCCTACATGCAAATACTAATATAGCTTTGTGTGTCCCAATTAGGACATCTCTCCTCCTCTAGTTTCTCTCATGCAAGTTGCCCTCTCTCTGAATGGTCCTTTGCAAATGTGAAAAGTGATCATGAATTTGGTACAGGTGGCTGTACAAGAAAGGAAAAGAAGCATCTTCTCTGCAGTCTGAAGTGCCCGTCTCTCACAAATTCTTCCTGAACTCTGCTGAAAAACATACCTGATTTTCCACCATCCTTCCAGGTTTTTTTGGATCACCTCCACTACAGCCCCTTTGTCTAGGCTTATTTCATCTTGGTCCCGAGCAGCATAAGGGTAAATTACCATATACTTCTCTTCTGTTTGAAGCAAAACAGAACAAAAAAGGTAAGCAACAAATGAGGAAGAACTGCAGCTCATTAAAAAGAAAGCTGCATCAAGAAAACCCTTCAAAATGATTGATTCAGCAATCATTCACCATTGGGCTGAATGGCAGAAGATTTGCAGACAGCTGCATCGTACATCAGGATCAACCAATTCAAGATCCCTCCACTGTGTGAAACTTTTCTTGCCTTGTATATCCTCTAAAATATTGGGTTATTCTGCAGACAAGTTAGCACAGGATACACATTATGCCAACACCAGAAACACAAGGCTTTAGAAGATTTGCAACGCTGCTAATGCAGACTGCTTTATATTAAAATATCTCTCCAAAGAAGAGATATTTTTCTTCTTTTCCAAAGAAGAGATAAAGCTTGGCCTAGGTGAAGAAATGTTTGTTTGTTTACATACATACATACATGTATTTATAGGCCACCTATAATTGCCAAGGCCTTCCTAGGTGGCTTACAATACATAAAATATCAAGCGGTATGCAATGGAACCAGAGTTCACAGGGACACGGCACCAGTTCTTTTTGATTAACAAGGATTCTGAAACCATCTGCCAGCCGCCCCCGATCCCAAATTCCCTATTCCCTCTGAACATAGCAGCAAACATCACCATAGCTGGGTTGGTGGGTTAATTTTCTCAGTGATAATACACACTTGCAAGCTGCCCCTATTATACTCATAATACAAAGGTAATGAATGGGAATTTTAATTCAGTGAGAGCCAGTGTGGTGCAGTGGGACTGGGACTCAGGAACTCTGGGTTCCAGTCCCCACTCAGCTATGGAGCTGACTGGGTGACTTTGGGCCAGTCACAGACTCCCATCCCAACCTCCCTCACAGGGTTGTTGTGAGAAGATGGAGAGGAGGAGGAGAATTGTGTAAACCACCTTAAGTTCCTTGAGAGGAAAAAAGGTTGGATAAAATATAATTAATTAATTAATTAATTAATCTAAGAAGCCAATAGCTCTACAAAGACCTGCTCTTGGCAGAAATGGAAAGGAAAGAATTGGTTTATGGACAAGGATAAACAGAGCCACCTAAATTTTTCTCCTCTCCTTGGGGAATGGCTAGATGGCCTGCCACAATGAGTGCCTGCATTTCAAGGTCTATCACCATAATCATGCCAGTGACAGAAGAACTGTGACAGCTTTACATTAGGGAAAGGGAAGGAAAAAGATCACCCACTAAACATCCATCTGCACTGTCGATATGGAAGTTCTCATTGTACTTTCCTACACAAGGAAGCTCTCACTGTCTGCTTTTCCCATCCGGAGGCTGCAAGCCAATGCCAGCTAGTGCTCTTCTGCACAATTTGTCATTAGCACCATCTGCATCCTCCGATTGCTTTTCAATTGCTAGATGTGCCCGGTGCAGAATGTGAAATAAATTCTACAGAAATTAATCATATAGCTGATTACCGATCTCCCTGACAGAAAGAGCAGAAACAATAGGCACCGCCACAAACCTGAGGTGGATTTGCATATGTAGTAGAAGCACAAATTTCTAAGTTATAAATGTGCTCAAATGACTGAGCACACAACCAGCATGCTTCTTATTTTACTTCTGGAACACGAGACACAACAGCTATTTCTGCTGCAGGTTGATAGCAGGTCAAAAGGCATCACCAGCAATGCAAATGGAGCACATCAAAGAGGTGTTATAGCATCAGGATACAGTCACAATGACAGGAGAAGCATGAAAACGCCCAAGTGCCCCACTGCACCCAAAAGCCCCTTCTTTCCTTTCTGCATTTGCCATGAAGTAAGTTCTAAGCATGGTAAGCCAATACCCAAATTAATCACACACTGAGGGCCAAAGCTGCTGTAACGTTAAATGTATCAGCAATGATCTACAGCCCATCCTGGACCAGAGGTGGACAGAAAGTGTATCTCCAGATGTTTTAGACTCCACTTCCTGCACTTCTGAGCATCAGCCTTGCTGGCAGGAGCTTCTGGGAGTTGAAGGCCAAACCTGCTGGAGATCTGTCTCCTCTGTCCTAAACAATAATACTCCTCTTTCACAGGCCTTGGGTGGTAGGACTGGAATTTCTTAAAAGCAGCCACCCACCCCAATAGAAAACAGTTACTCTCTAGCAAAAGGACTCATATAAGCAGGACACTAACAAAGGGTCAAGTCCTGCAACAGTCCTGAACGCCAGTTGTGTCCCTGGATCTACTCTGGAAATAGTACTACAGGACTATCACTGTTAGAGGACTTTAACATCACCCTGAAAATTAGGGGTTTCTTTACTTGCTTATCTGATATACACCATCTTCTCAGCAATACCATTCTACATTCTATATAATTCTGTATAAGGCAAACAACAGGCCATTCTCTACAGAAAATATTCATCACATTAGCAATACTAAAATCCATTAGAAGAACACTTTGGCCTCCTGATCCTGCTGCTTACAATTCTCCCTGCACCCCTATCATGTGCACTGTATGTATACACAAAACTATCAATACGACGTCTTGCTCCTTATAAAGTGAACTGCAGCCTACAGAAACCTAAGCCAAAATAAAGTTGTTAGTCCTCAGGGTGCCACAAGATGTTTTTCCTACATAGACCAACACGGTTACTCTGTGGAATTTGCAGCTGAAGGGCAAGTTTTAAAAAATGCAAACTGATTCAGCTGAAGGGGAACTGACTTATGATTGCTACACCCCTGAGTATCTTCTGCTTTGGCCCAATGCACTAATGGGAAGGCCTAATCATGGAGCATTTACCCAGTACCAAAAGCAGCACTGTGTGAAGGGGTGGGGAGAATCACAAGTCTAAGGCAGTTTAATGTTTATGATCAACAGAGCATAAAAGGAAATAGGCAGGGCAGAGCACAGAGAATAAATTATATAAGACATGCAAGAAGGGACACAAAACACCACAGTGGGTTGCACATGCAGAAACGAGGGCAGACAAACATCCAAGGCACAAAAGAAGGCTGATAGGAGAAATTGCAAGAGCATCCACCTTGACCCCATCCACTGCTGTACAAGTCCCCAAGAGTCCGGCGGCGGCCCATGTGCCTGGGGAGTGACCAATATCTCCATGTGACTGGGCGGAGCATGTTGGGGAAGCAGGAAAGGGACAGAACAGGGTGTAAGGAGGAAACTCTTCATGTCTTCAAGCAACAGCCTTATTTAAAAGAGTGGATAATTCACAGTGAGATGAGATAACATATCTCCCTCCCCAGTCCACATCAAAGAATTGAATGCCTTGTTTAACAAAGGAGTTGCATGAAAATGACAGGTATCAATCTTTACTTTCAGCAAACAGCAACTCCACGAACACAAACATACACACACAATATGGGGCATAAAAATATGGGGCATTTCTGACTTTGTCTCAGAAGCGCTTAGACATCTCTCTCTAAACATCTCCTTCCACAGCTCCTCCATGAAGGACAGGGTGAATTTCCCATGTCAGGAGGCTGATTCCAAAAAGAGGCAGATCTCACCGCCAGGAGAACCTCATGATCTGGCCAGCATTCCAGAAAGCTGGTGCTCTTCTGCTGTGGTGAGGGCAGCTAGCACAAGTCTCTGGAGTGCTGCCTCAGAGCACAGCATTGGAGGGCTCTGGGAAATCCTGCCAGCCACTGAAAAGAGGAAGCAGCCAGCCCCAGCCTTGTTGAGCAGAACCTCAGGGGGAGGTCCTAGCAAAGGTGGTCTCCATGGCCAGCTCTCCACCAATGATTTGCTGGGAGGTAGGACTCCTCAAGAAGGATTCAAATGAGATGTTGGTCAAAGGGGTGGACAGGGGAGAGAAGAGAAGGGGTGGTGCTTCCTGTCATGGATAGTAGGGGAGAAAACAGAGGACAGCAGCACAGTCTCCAGCCTCAGGACAGAAGGTCTTGCATTGGAACTAGTTTTGAAAGTACTTAATGCTGTAGCTAAGTGGGTGAGAAGCTGATCAGTGGCTGGATGGGAGATCACAGTGGGCTCCATTATAATTGCTCTCGTCATTTCTCAGTGTTAGCCATTATAACAAATATTGTTCTGGTACAATGCTTGTCAGGCAAACCATAGGGCAGGGATGGGCAATTTGAATCCATCCAGATGTTTTGGTCCACACTCTCCAATTCTTCACCATGGGTTATGCTGTCTAAGCCAAAACATCTAGAAGGCTTGTGGACAGGAGAAATATTCTGTCATGCTTGAGGATGGAGCTACTTTTAGTCACTGGAGACTGAGGAAAGATAATGCACCCACTAGCAAGCTCCTTAGCACCCCTTCTCTAATAATTGCATCAGATCAGAAGGCTTTAGTCTTCAAGAGAGTTTGCTAAGGGTAGGAAAAACAATAGCAGGGCTCACTCAAAAGTACCCTTTGTCTCCACACCAGGTTGGATTTTTTCCTCCTTGGATACAATCCTGAAGATTTTGAACTAGGCTTCAAGGGATAAATGGTTCAAGGGATAAAGCTGGGTATGATTTGGGTTATTTTAGGCCTATCTCAAGATGCTTTCTTACCTTCTTCAGGTTGCATTGCAAATTCATCCTGGATTCCATCCTGGGCCTCCAGACAGGTGGCTGGGACCCACCCTTGCTCATCCAATGTGCTCACAAACCACCAGCCTAGAGTCAAGAGGAAATGCTGTCAGTTGGAGAGTTCTAGCTTTGGACAACCATCCATGCACCGGCCTCCATGGAATCTGCCCCTTTTTGTGGGGAATATCCTTCAGAACAAATCCCCACCCATTGTCACAACTAAAACACTGAAGACAGGCTTACCATGCACCACATTTCAACTGCCTTCATGTGTCTATATACTGAAGACTTCGTAAGGTTCTAAAATTGCTTTCCAATAGAAGCCACAGAGAATCAAGCCAGATCCTACTAGCATAACTCTTCCCTGGATCTTTCTCAGTCACAGTAAAGCAGGACAGAAGATCGGTATGTTGGGAGGCGACTTTTGGGCAATCCAATGTGCATAACTTTGCCTGGCCAATTCCTTTGTTTTACCTGCACCTTCTTTTGCTGCTCCCCTCCCCTCAACTTTACAGGTGTTTTTGAATTGACAACTTGGCAATTAGACCCTAGTAACTATATGTTGTCTCATCTGGTCAGTTTCTTTGTTCCTTCACCTGGCTGTCTTCTCTGACAGCTGAAAAAAAAATGGAATTGACGAGGAAAGCTGACATATTTGACAGCTGCAAGAGCATGCCTGTGAAAGACTGACAAATAAAATAAACTAAATTGCAGATACAGTTATGTAATTTTAAGGACCTGGAAACTATGGATCTCAGCAGTACTTTTTGAATATTCTGAAAAAGAAAAAAAAATGACACAGTGGCAAACAAAAAGGGGCAGAGATTGTATGGGGGGGGGGCTTGGGTTCAGCTGAGGACACTGGATATGTGCCAGAGCCAGCTGCAGGACTGATGGAGAAGAGGGCAAGCAACCCACCTCTGCCCTGTTGGTTGTCCCATGGGTTTCTCAGCAAATGAACAATCCACCATGGCTTATGCACAGTGGGGCATAACATGCTATGTGAACCCATCCACCGATATTTTTTCTTCTTTAGATTCTTCCTGTATTTCCTTGTGGTTGATCAAACCCAACCTTATTAAGATCATAATTTCATTTATTGCGCAGTTTTTTGTGTGAATTCAGAATTCATTAGATGACTATTTTGAATGGAAACCAAAACTATTCAGTGAAAAGCTATGAAACAATTTGACCTATGTATGACACCAAAGCAATTCACAATGTGTAATTTACATAAAAGCTATTCAGGTAGAGCATAATAAAAAGCTGTAAATTATCTATAAAAATTCAGCATGTTATGCTTTAGAACAGCGATACGGTGTCTGTTGTTATCCTGCTTCACAATGGATAGTGTGTGGATAGAAAATAGATCAGTGTCTTTTCCTTAATTTAAAGTCACATCAACTGCAGCTACTAATTTGCTTCCTTTTTCTGAAAAATGAATCGCCTGGTAGGACAATTGCATTGTGGAAATTTCCCTATAAGTCAAAATGCAAATCTGAAGTGATTTTCAGACCCTATTTATTATTTTACTTAAATAAAAAGGCAAAAACACACTGCATATTATTTTCTTTCAAAAACAATACTCAAGTCAAAGCACAGTTCCTTCTAGAAGGGTCAAATTACTAAATGAATTAGGATAATTGTAGGCATGCAAGTGAATTACTTGTCAATCAAAGAAACTGGAAAGGCAACTATGAATGGCATCCTCCTTTCATTAATCTAATATGAAGGCTCTGAAATGGGATCTGTGGGCCCAGGTGGCTTGCTGTCAAGGACAGTGCAGCATAAAACACGTCAACAAGTAATTTGGGGGTCAGAGTTGGGATAAGAGCTGACAAGGGGCAAAATCCTATGCAAGTTCAGTAAAAAGGCCTAGATCCATAGGCCTTTTTGCCATCCAAATATGCACAGGATTGTGCACTGAGTAATTCTTAATCCTAGCATTACCTGCAGAGGCCAGTTCTCACAAGCTGACCCTTGCACAGCCCTTCTAGATAGACTGATACATCACATGGTGCTTTGGAGCAGTGCTTGCCTTCAAATTCCATTAGGAAAGAATGAGGATGAAGAGATCCCTTTTGCATGTTCAGTCTTTGTGTCATGCCCCAGCTGAGCTCTCCTTACCAGATTCATTCTTCTCAATTATGTCCACCACTTGGCCCGCACACAAGCTAATCTCCGAACTCTCTTGCTTCTGGTAATCTGCTACCACCACATACTGTTCCAGGACCATGGGATCAGCAGAGGTCAAATCTCCGCCTATGTGATAGGGAACAAGAGGCACACTTAGTCACTATTCACAGGGCATCCCACCCGGTGTTGCCCCGGTTTCTCATGATCATGCCTGCAGGAAAAGGCTCATCCGAGAGCCGTGAGGCTTTGAACTATCATAGGCAGAGTGACAGGGAGATGGGAACAGGCAACAACTGAGATGTGTGCAGCTACGTCAGAAGCGGAGAACCGCAGGCCTACAGATCCAATTCAACCCTCTGGGGTTCCTCAAAGAACTGCTAGCCACATCTCCTTTCCCCTGACTGCCAAATCTGCTGGTTTTCTAACTTTTGCATTGCTTTTCCCCTATTCTAAAAGGTTGCCTCTTGCAGGAGTTACTGATAGCAGTTTTGATACGGGAGAAAAACTGTGAGAGCTGGTGTAGTATATGGTTAAAAGTGCTTGACTGGGAAGCAGGATATTTGGGCTCAACTCACTCAACGTTACTGGGAGATGCAGGACTTTTGTTTTTGGTAGTCATCACAAGGTCAGCATACCACCTAATTTCACCTATCCGCTCTGGAGAATTTTGCAGCAATTTGCGGCTGAAGTGGTATACTAAGGCGTGACTATATTTCTCATTGACTGTATATGCTTCATTGGTCTGTCACAATTGTGTCCCTCTCTGATCTTCAGAGTCTTCCTCAGATTTAAGCCAATTAATGATGATGGATAGGTATCAGATACCCCTCAACATTCACCATTAACCAATTTAAACACTAACAGAATCTAAAGATCAGGTCTATTTTAATTATAGGACTGAACTGGGTACAGAGTCATCACTGCATAATATGAGACTATGTTGGCACTACTGACTGAGGAGAAATGTAGAATAAACCGTGCCTTTCTAGGCCTTCTTAGGGATTCCCTTGAATTACCATACTCTACTAAATTATTTTACTTCCTTTTCCATCATTAAAATTAGCTGGCAGGGCATGCGAGGGAACCTGAAGCTGAGAGACTGAGCTAAGCAGGCAAAATGAGGTACAAGCTAAGAGTTACTTCTTTAAAAGCAGAGTCCTTAGCAAAGGTTTCTGCAACATTTCCACTGACTCAAGACTTTGTGGAATTAAGCTTACAGCATCCGGCTGCAGGGGTAGAAATTCTATTAACCTTACAAATGTGCAAAGCCTCTTAAGTAGGAAGGTAAAAGAATAATAATGGAAGTGTTTAAAAAGGAGTGGGATAATTCAAAAGGCTTTTCAATTTTATATAGCAATTAAGATATGTCTAAGTAAGCACAGTTATGCTATCTAGAAAACTTGTTCCAATGGGGAAAAAAAAACCTCTATTCACTGTAAGGGAGCATAACTCTTGCCTCACATTAGAGTCCTGCATGGCTCTTTGCCAAAGGGAACTATCTGGAGTCATTTCCTGTGGTCACTCCATCTGGCCTGGAAAGAAATCTAGGCTTGTACTTCCGGAGGATGTGGTTTTAGGCCTTCAGGACCACAACCCTCAAAAATTTAGCTGATCTGTGCAGTTCAACACTTGGTTCGTCCTTTGCATTCCAAAACAGCATCCCGGCTGCTTTTTGTGGAGGAAGCTCCAAGAGATTTGGGATTTCCAAAATAAATAAATCAAAGCTAGCAAGGGGCAGCAGAGGTTACCCAGAAAGAAAAAAATGTGTGAAACCCAACATTAAGAGGAAAGAAACTATAGAAAGAATTGGAAATGATAGCACATCATCATAAACTAGGCTAAAACGTAATAATCAAAGGATATTTTCTATCGGATAAAATCACATGTACCAAGGTACATTGGTTGCTGCTGTGGGTGGTCATCTGAACTCTTAGCCCCCAAACATACACATGTTTCTTCAAAGGAACATTCCACCAATTGCATCTGGACTTATTCCACATAAGCACACGTGAGAGTGCAGCCCTGGCTAAATACCTACACTGGAGGAGACGTACTTTTCCCCTGAGTAATAATTCAAGTTGGAAGAATCAATGTAAACTCACCACACAGACTAGATTTTGTGTTTTGTTTTGATCTAAACTGCATTTACTCTCTAGTCAACATCACCATCTGGAAGAGTGATGCTGCTGCTTCGAGCAGCAGAATTTAGATACTGCGGACTGTATTGAGAGAATAATAATTGGTTATTGCTGTACTTTTCCTGCCAAGGAAGGAGGGAGGTGCATGCAGGATTTCCTGTTTCAGGTGCTTTGCGCACTGTGTGCCTCACTGGCACTGGCTCTGGCACTGGGGAGGGAAGTGCACGCTCCCTGCTGCCCTATGTCAGGTAGCAAAACAGCTTGGGCTGGCTCGGTTAATTTGCCTATATGCCTACCCAGGCCAGTTCAGTTTGCCCATGCCTCAATAGCAAAGGGAAGGAAGCTCCTCAAATTAGAATATGTTTGGCAAATGGGGAAAAATGACTCTTTCTTATTTGGCTTTGTTGGCCTATCTTGGTCTGCCAAACAAGCCATTTGTGACTGAGTGGGTGTCTTGCACGTAAAGGGAAACAACAAAAGTGGTTTTCCCCTCTATATACCAGTTATATGGATTAAGTGGCCAAAAATAATCTATACATTTATATCAACAGCTAATATTTCAAAGCAAACCAAACAGGCCGGTCTGCTCTTGCAGCGGCAGTCTTGGTGGGCTGTGAAAATAAGCTAGGTTCCCTGTGTGTGGGCAGCAAGTTGGCTCTGGAATGGAGATTTGGCAAGACAGACATATTCGAGTGGGGAAGGCCGACTGAAAAGCGCACCAGAAAAAGAAGGGCTTGTGGAAAGAACAGTCTGGCAGTGTGGCACAGCCAGAGGATCAAAGAAGCCTGGCTGGGTTTTCCTAGCTTTGAGTGTACTGGATTCTAAGCAGGCCAAATAATTTATTTTGTGGAAGGATCAGTGTTGTAGGACACATTTTTTTTTCAAGAACAGGCTCACAGAAAGGAACAATTTTCCATTATGTTGTATCATAAACGACTCTCCATTATGTTCCAGGTAAGCAATGGAGAGGCTTAGTTACTTCTAATTACAGCATTCGATCCAGAGAAAATGATTGGAGGGAGTCGTCAGGATGAGACAAATATAACTCTTGGAAAAAAACGTCTGTGCCTAAGAATTGTAGTCTCCATCTGCTATTTGATGCCAAGTGTTGTTCTGACTAGACCGACTTTGGCTTCATCCAGCCAACAGAAGTCAGGAAAAGAGAAGACAACCTTTTTCCTGCCCCCAGCTCCCACGTAATTACTCATAGTGCTCCTGGGGCTATTTGCAGCTTCAACATGCAGCTCTGGCACCCCCAAACTGCCATTTAAACCAGCAACACAAAGCAATAAACAGCACAGAGCGGAAAAGCTGGAATTATTTTCAGTAGCTTCTTCTCTCAGGACAATTATTCCCAACCACAAAACTGTATGGTTGCATTAACAAGAAAAATGGCCTTCTCTGAGATAAGTGTGAGGCTCTTAAAGTTCCATGGCATTTTTACCTTTTAAGAGAAGGAGACAGGATGCAGGATTTGGTGCTGAGAGGAAGTCAGAAGTTGTTCTACACATGCATTGCGTATTGATCATGTAATTCTATGGCTGACTTGCTTGTGTCCCTCAATCTCCACAAATTACAGCAGATTAATTGCAATAAATGAAACTTTTTATATTACACACCTGTGTCACAATCACAACTCACTGGAGATAATTCACATAAATGTTTGGGAATCAGCAAGCCATTGGACTTTAAACAATGAACATGCATGCATGAAGATGATCAAGAAACAAACAGATTCTTTGAGGAGAAGCTGCACTCCAAATCTGCTTGCAAAGTTGGAACAACATGTGTGTGCATTTATTTTTCAGATGAGTTTTTAGGAACTACTAAGAATAATATTGCTCATGTGAATCTCTGGGTCTGATAGAAGTTTTCTTTGCACAGGATGCTTGCAAAACTCAAATTTAACCTCCTGTTTTAATGTACAACTGTACTTTGGGTTGAGGACATGAAAACTCTAAACAGACCTGAATAGCCCCACTAAGTGCTAGGACAAGGGCCCCACACATGACTGATTAAAATGAGAAAATGACCCTACTTAGGTTTGGAATCTCCTCTAATTACACTTGTGGGATTGTTCTGTGCAGTCATGCAAGTCAGTACGCTGTCTCTGACTCAGTAGTGAGCATCTCTCCTTTCAGAAATAAGTAAGCAGCACAGGAGACACACAGAAAGGAGAGAGGAGAGAACATGCACTCAAAAAGACAAGGACAAAGTGATTTTTCACTCCAATTTCTTAATTTCATGATTTGATGATGTTCTCTGCAGAAGGTCAAGTTTACACTGAGTGAAGATTTATGCTCCCTTCAGTTCCTAAAGCTAGCTTTGAGCTCCTTCCCCTTAATCTTAATCTTCATACACAAAGGATGTCATGATGGTATGAAAGACAGGACTTTTGAACAGCCACAGAAGTCCTGTAAGGAAAGTTACTGTGAATTTCATTTATTTATTGATAAATTTTGTCAAAGTGGGGTAATCTTTTGTTCCAATTCATATTCCCCATGAAAGAAGTCCCTTGCCCCAGTTCATGTTACATTTAACTGCTGTGGAATGATGGTGTTTTGCAAGAACAATTTAAAACAATCTACAATTATTTGTAAACAAACCCAAATTATTACCCAAATAAGAACTGACCAATAAAGGGCACTGAAAGCAGATATTTCCAGAATAAGTAAAAATAGGTATTCAAATATAGTGGGGTCAAGGTGGCAGTGCTGGATCCCCACTTAAGATTTGGACATAAAGCCCAAACCCTCAAAAATGAGCATCCAAACCTGCCTTTCGAAGAAGCCAATCCGTATAAAATGTTTGGGTTATTCCTAATTCCATTAAGAAGGTTAAGTAGGATTAACATATCATTGAATTTCAGTATTTGTAATAGTTGTATTTTATGTACACAGTTTATATGACCATTATCTTCACCATTTGTTATAGCCAATGGAAATTTTTACATATAAACCACAAAATTTTATTAGTTTATTCAGCTTTAAATTAGCCCATTTATTGAAGTCTCATATCTGTAACTAGACTCATGTTCATAAACAGAACAGGTTTAATGCCATGTAAATGTCCTTTTACATGCTAAAATTTTCCAGAAACACACACACACAACATTCAGTCTCAGTATTGGTCAACAGGCATTTTGCATTTGCATGTATTTAAAGGAATGTGTGCAAACGAGCAATAGCTACTAATTCATGCCAGATGTGGCAACCCTAACAATCACTACAGACAGTTCAGCTCGATTTTCATCTAATTTCCTGTGTAATTTCTTCCCAGGCTATCATCAAAGCTTGAGGCCACCACCAGCAAAGCAGCAGAGTTGCAACCTAGCCAGCTTAAACCAGTCCAATGGGAGCTTGGTTAGCTCATTCACAGTGCAATTCAGTGGCATGTCTCTTTAATGAACCTCCCTGCTCCTTCCCCATATATTCCCCACTGCACCCTATCCACAGGGCAGCAGCAACCCTCCAAAGCAAAAGAGTGGTGCTTAGAGTGCTCAAGAGGAACCGCAGATGTTGCCCAAGAGAAAGGATTGTGAAAAGCAAGATCCAAGCAGTGAATTGCCTTTACTACCTCTCAGGAGGAAAGAAGCCGTTCTCTTGATAAATCCTAATGAAGGAACAAAAATGGTGGAGAAAGACAATGAGGGCAGTACAAGGAAGGGGACACATATAGGTGAAGGTGATTGGCCAAAGAAAAATGTGCCTGATATCTTCCCCCAGGATGAAGGAAGATACCAATATATACTAACAATGAACTCATTATCCAAAGGCAGACTCTTATACGGGCAGAACAGCATGACCCACCCTCACAGTGGTACCATCACCAGCAGGCTTGGGCTGCAGAACTGCAAACTTGTTTTAGCGGGAAAAGAAATCATAAGTGATGCCCATGGCAGTGAAAGTGTTCTCAGGTGTGGAGCAAAGAATACATAACTGGTTCTATTTACCCTGTTACAGCTTTATATTAGAAAGCTTGGCTTTTACATGACCTGGGCCAGCTTCCCTGTCATCTTCTCAAGAGATCCAGTTTATCTGTTGTGCACATAGTATATATACATATTTTATGAAACGTGTCCTGTGGTAGGAATAGAGGGAGACACTTTTACAGACACTGCGCAAAAAGCTTCATTCCACATGAGCTAGATTTAGTATTAAGGGTAAGAGCATTCCACTCCCAACATGAATGGTCAGTTTAGAAGAAAGCAGAGTAGAATGGAGTACAGCCTATGAGACAGCTCACATGAACAAGTAGAATGTCCTTTAGCAGAGCCAGTGGCAAAACTCTCAACCACTTACAAAGACAGGCTGAAAACCTAAATGCTGTATCTGCTTCTTACAATATGTGTATATACTTGAGCAGCAGACACTAGTGTTGCTCACAGGATCTCTCTCCATCATTACCACATGCATTTGATATATTTATGAACTGGAATGTATTCAGTAGGACTGGCTCATTCAAGCTCTGAAGAAATCAAACTGAGCAGTATTTCTACACTGGGAATAGACACAGTTGTTCCAAAGTATATTATATCTTCAGGCTGCCAGAAGTTGAAATAGTATCATTTACTATAATACAGCAACTGAAGCAAGCTGGCAGGTCTAAGGAAATAATAAGATATTTAATTGCCCTACCGGACTGAATTCCTGATGCACCAGTATTTTGGAACACACCCAGCTAACATTGAGCACCAAAGCCAAAATAGAAAGATTTTCCTGCCTAGCCACAAGCTGCTACTGAGTGGGCATGAGTATGATTGTAATGTTCCTTCAACCAAAACCGAAGGGTGAGCTTGCTGTGAAATTATAGTTGGAAGCACTGCCCTAGGAATTAAACTGGTTTTCAGCAATCAGGCCCAGGCACTCAGGTCTGCTTGCTTTGTCATAAAATCAAACACCAGGGAAACAAAGTAGTTCAGAATATGGTTTCTGCTAATGCTTAAAGTGGTACATGCTAAATTGTGGGCTTGCTGATAAAAAGGAAAAGTCTTCTAAGAGCACCTTTTATTGTGTCCACCCACAGGCTACTTCCTCCTCTTGCTCTCTCCTTTCTACTGTGCCAACCCTACAGCAGTCTTCCCCACAGTGCAACCTCCAGAAGTGTTAGATTGCAGTTCTCATCACCTCCAGCCAGCACAACCATTGCAGGTCAACACACCTATAAGGCAATGGTTTGTGGAAGGCTGCCCTGCAGTTCTCATCAGTGCCACTGGCTTAGATGCTACACTGGGAGATAACAGACAGGCACGGCAGGATGCATTCTCAGCTGTGCTACAACAGCGCTGAGGACTAAGGCAGCACTGAGGCAGCCGCATACCTGCAGCATTCTGCACGAAGAACTGCTCTGCTCTGTCCTGCAAGTTAGCAAAGAGGACAGTGGGGGAACCACTCCTACAAACAGTCATCAGAATGCACATTTGTTCTAAGTGTGCTCTGCTAATTTGTCAGTAACTGTGGCACCTTCTTTCAAAATAAAAAATAAAATAAAGTGCCATGTTTTACCAGGCTCCGAGAATGAACAATTAAATTCTGACCACATGAAACCCTTAGCTACAAATACAGTGGAATAACACTCTTTCAGTCTCTCTACTATGAGATCTTGTACCAGGATAGAAACTGGAGAATTTCTGGACAAGGTGCTCATAATGCAATACATATAATAAGATTTTTTTTAATATACCTACCTCAGTCCTGTGTTAGGCTGCACAGTGAAGCAGAAACAAAATATGGGATAATAGAAACATGAAATCTAAAGAGAGGCAGCATGTCAGGACAGACTTTTCCAATTTACTTCCATGCTAATGGCCTCTGGAAGTGTGTGCTTCACTCACGCTTTGAACTGAGCAGTGGTTGTGGGCAAACTACAATATTTTTTGTAACAGATCAAGAAAGTAGAGATAAGGAAAGGGGAAAAACTCTGTAAGTCATGGCCTTACCAGATTTCTTCTTTCCAATTGGCTCCCTGAAAAGGAAAAAAAATACAATAGGTCAGTGAGGCCATGTCATAAGCCCAGTCTATCTGCCCGAAAGTGGGTTGTTAGGAGTGAAGAAACAGGCCTTCGGACTTTGGGCAGTTTGAGATTGAGCCTACTTTTCCTTGAACTACCGTATGCCACTAGCCTGACAATAGAAGAATGGAGACAAATTCATCTTTTCAAAGACAATCTTACCTTTCCTTCGACTCTATACAAAGCTTGCAATGTGTGAAACTCAGAAACTCTCACCCGTGTCCTTTATTGCTACCTCATAAGCATGTTCCTTTGCTTGCCTGCAAATGTCCACTACTCACATCCATACAATGCAGGCATTAAAAAAAGATTTCTTGTATTTTCTGGAAGCTGTTGATCTTGAGATTAACCTGTAGGCAGCACAGGTTGCCTTAATTTAAAAAAAAACTGTTGGCATATATGAAGGTAAGAGGTAAAGGAGAATTAAGGTGGCAGCAGTACAGAGGTGAGGGCCAGCCACAAGCATTTCTTGAAAGTTGGTCCAACAGGGAAAATACTCATTCTTAAGGGTGATAGCAATACCTGGGACCCTTGGGTAACTGTTGGGGCCCCATGATTCCAGTAGGACCCACTGCCAATGCTAGCATCCTGTCTTTCCCCTTTAAAAAGCTCTGGGCCAGAGTTCCAATGCACAGTGAGCAGCTGGGCTTAGCTGCCATCTGAGTTTCCCACAAGGCCCCCACAGCTTCACAGCTATTGGAAGAACGATGGGAAATTATTAGTTTCAGCTGCCTGACAGCTTTCAGAGCATTGCCGCTATCCCTGCTGTCCTCCACCTTCATCAAATAGTCTAGTGGAGCCAACAAATGGAGAAAGAATGGGTCCACCAGAGGACATTTTGACCTCCTCAAACCTGCAACAGACTCTGTCCATTCTCTCTGAGTTTACCTTTAACTTGAGTTGAGGTCAGTAGTTGCAGGGAAAACACAGGCAATATCTAGTTATGTTGTCATCTGTTTTCCCCTTTACAAACTCTATGTTTTGGATGTGACTTTCCGAAGGTGTTGCCTATTGAGCTACTTCAAAGGAATACCATCAAGGGTGGAATCCTGTGCATATTTAAACAGCAGTAAATCTTAGACCTCCCAAGCATTGCTTGGAAATGTGGAACGTTTTGTAGGATTTTCTAGGGCTTTGTAGGTCTTTTTTCTGTACAAACATGCATCAGATTGCACCTTAAGTTCAGTAACACATCATCACTTCATGTAACTTTAATCACAGAAAAATGTTGATCTTTATCCATTATCTGTGAGAAAATGCATATGCCAAAAACATGAATGTATTATTCCTCCTGTAAGGGGACTTATATCAGATATTCTCCTTCTCTACTCACCAAGTCCCAGTTATGAGTTTACCAACATTTAAAACACCAAAATTCCTACAAATATAATATTTGTCCCTGAATCACCTCACTGTTACAGGGAAAGAAAACCATGACAAAGAGAGCAGCCTTTCGTTCAACCGGCATCTTTTAATTTAATACACAAGTATACCATGAACCTGATGTATGTACATGCACCTGTGTGTACGCACACACGCATATGCATGCACACACACGATGCACAAGAATTTTACAGGATAATCACAGCCATTTCACACAAGCAAAATGCCATGAGATAGCTTATAATTTTGATACAAACTGCTTGGGTTTATTATCAACTATTTATTATACACTGAATTTTGCAAAACTGGACCAGCACATGTAAACCAATTCAAATTATGCTATCAATTGAAAAAAACATGCTGGGATGAGGGAGGCTATCAATTACTGCTAGTCATGATGGCTATGTATTGCTTCCGGCATCAGGGGTAATGTGCCTCTATATGCCAGTTGATAGGAAGAAGTGGGATTTATCTAGTAAAGGTAAGATATAATGGCAAGTTCAAGACTTCATGTTTTTTGCACCAAACAGCACAAAATGTGACATTATACCAGTTCACAGAACATAATTCTCTTTCCTTAAATGTCAAACACAAAGTGTAAAAAGCAGATGAAGTGGACCCAGAAACCAAAGCTAATGGGCATAGGGATCAAAGAGTAATCCAAGCAGGCACATGGACTTAAGTAAATGTCCTAGGTTTTTGGGATTCTCTAGGTATCTAAGTTAGATAATATTGGCAAACAATTACTTCACAATTATGGTACACAAGCAAACTAAGGTTTCTGCAAAACACGGATTGCCAGGTTCAATTGAAATGACAAATTATGTTTGCTGAGAACCAAGAAGAGGGGTCATGTGAGCCCAATGCTTGTGCACATCAGGATCCACAGTTCAACATGTGCTTAGGGAGCTGATGTGGTGGTTAGAATGTTCAACTTGGGACCCAAGAGATCCGGGTTCTAGTGCACGCTCAGAGATGAAGCTCACTGGATGACTTCGGATCAGCCTAGCCTACCTCAGAGGGTTGTTGTTGAGAAGATAAAATGGCATTAGAAAAGTCACCATAGAGAACTTTTTTCCTCACAAGGGGAAAAAAGACAGGATATAAATGCAAAGTAGCAACAACATTGTGTCTAGTTTGCATCAGTATTTCATGAACCAGGCTACTAGCAGAGGCACAAGAAAAGTCCTGACCGCATCAGCCTTTAGTCTTTTCTCTTTGTTAGCCAGTAAGAGGGAGCTAATCTGATGGAAATTCAAGCAGTTCTAGTCTAGCACACATCTGCAAAGCCTTCAGTGCTGGTGCTTTTGTATCCCTTCCCTGCTAAATGTATCAACTGTGGCACATTACCCTCCATCTCTGTTCCACTGCATCCCCCTATCTGAATGAGAAGGGGGAAACAAGACTGTACTTTTACTTTGTTTCTGGGACCTTCCTGGCCTGAGCAGATACACCTCCGAGAACAAGAACTCAGACAAGACAGGAAACAGTAATAAGCTTGCAGAAGTCTGCAGTTTCCTCATCTCTGCCTAGCATCCCACTCAGCAGCTGGAGAAGGCGATATGGAATGAGTCCATAAAGACCCCTGAGAAGGGCTAATGAGTGATGGAAGCACAGGAGGACATTGCATGAATTTGAATGTTTTAGGGAACGTTTCAATGGGGATAGCAGCGGGGGGGGTGCGGGGGGGGAATCTGAGAATGCACTCTTGCTGACGGGCTGCCATAAAGGAATTACAAATCCCAGCAATTTACCCAAAATGGGAAAACCTTGAAACAGAACCAGTGTTTTCCCATGTATCTAATTATGTTCAGAAAAATAGGATATGCAGAGAAAGGAGTGGGGCAACCACAGAGGCAGTGCTTTAAAAAAGGAGGAAAGTTACTTCCTTGTTTCATTATTCCAGCCAAGCCTGGCTGATGCCTGGGGATTTTCAAAGTTTACTCAGTGCAGACAGGCTGGTACCTCCTTTGAGCTTCTTTGGGCACCCCAGGATGTTTGGAGAGTATTTCTCAAGAAAAGAGAAGCATTGTCCATAAAAGGACAAAAGAGGTCTGTGACTGAAATCTGCAGTCTGCAAAAGCTACATCCGACAGTCTCTCTCATTAAGGAGGTTTTTATATATGCAGAATAAATGCAACCTGAGGAATACAATTAAATTTCTATTATTGACAAAGAAAACGTTTAGTTCAGATTGCACTGCTTTGAAAATGACTAAAACTGCAATCCTATGAATGTTTAGACAGAAAAATACCCTACAATTTCCAGTGTTTCCACCTTGAAGTTCTTTGCTATTACTAGTCAAATGCTTTAAACTCGACTACGCTAACCAACTTTAGTTGATGGTGGCCATACATAAAAAGGTCATAATGCATTGGCGTCCTACATTTCGGGCAGGATATTTAAGTATGCACTAGCCTGCGTGGTACCCTGAAGAAAGGATGCATATATATTGGTCAGTGTGTGATCACAGTTGTTTCAACAGAACACCAGTTGCATGAAGACTTAGATGAGTAAATACTTTCTGCAGGTTTTGCATTGGTGCAGTCCGGTTTATAGTATCCTTAAAGAAGGACCTTTTAAACGTGTCTGCTAAACTCTTTCTCTGGGCACAGCTATTCTGGTTTTCTCATTCAGATTTCCTGATAGTGTTCTAAGCATTCAAAATAGCTGCAGGAAGCAATTCCAAACGTCAGCCTGCCATTTCTCTCCAAGTATTTAATTAAATGCTATTTAATGGGGAGGACAGAAGGTACATCTAAACATATTTCCAGGTGAACAGCATATATCCCCCTCCATTGTTTAATAACTTCCTTCTCAGTCCTATGATCCTTGTAAGTGGTAGCAAACACCTTCAGTCTCATGGAGCATGTGGTGTTCCTGGCCTTTTGAATGGAGTATATGTGGTCATCCATTACTTCATTGAAGAGGCCAGTACCATTGAAAGGCATATGCTCAATTCTGGCTTTTGCCTCCATAGTCTGGAGGAGCAGTCAGTTGACACAACTGAGACCTAGCGCTCCTGCCATGCTCTTGGCACTGCATTCTGCCTGATGGCTGGTTATATGAATCGCCTGCTGAGCAAGGTGAGTGGCTGATTTCGTTGCCCAGGTTCTGGGCTTCTTAAGGGAGGGATGATCACAGCGAGGGCACCCTGTCCCACAGCATTAGGTAATATCTGGCCATGAAAGTGCAGCAGATGAACAGAAGCTGTGACCAACTGTATCGAGGTGTTTGCCTTCCCTCAGCTGAAATGGAGTGTTCTCTTCTCAAGAGCCCTTGAAAGGACTCCACAATGACAGATTTGGGGTGTAGGTGTTGAAACAGGAACACTGTGTCCCTTTCTTGTACCCAGTACATATTTTCCAGCCTTCTAGGAGGGGGATGCACAGAGGCAGGTTATTTCCACTTCTGGTGTACCATGTTGAGCAGGGTCGGTAGAAGGATATGGTGACAGAACTGGTGGTTTCTGCATAGACTACCTCGAGGACAGGGTCTTTTGCTTTGCCTGGGTCCTGGCAAGGATTGGGCCCTAAGCTATAGGCCATGTGAAGGACCTGTTTAGAAAATT